ACTGCAAATAGTGACAGAACATGTATTCTAGAAAACTAACTTCAGATCAAGTATGATTTCATTATTTTATGGAAATGTTCTCAGACACTTGCCAACAGGACACTGAGAAAGGACACAGTAATATTTTGTATCACTTTACCATAAAGTCAAGAAATCACTTACATTCATTGTAAGCAGATGCTGAATATTCTTATTATGACTTACCCATCAAATACAAATTTTCAGGTGTAGTCACTGGAATATTGACAAGCTTAAGGTCATCTTCATCTGCTTTATCCCAGGAATTAGAATTGGCACAAGCACAACTGTGACAAGAGGTGGCACTCTGAACCTTGAAAAACAAAGTGCTGTTACAGAGAGCATCCTTAAAACCACATTCCAGCCAGAGTACATTACATCCAAGCCATCTGCCTAGCAACTGGTTTTACTCTGTGGTAAGGACAGTGGTTTCTCAGCATCTCTAGCTGCCTGTGCAGTTCATTCAGGAAACTTCCTTCAGCTCAGGGAAGCCTTTAGATGCACATCCAATGCAAGTTAACAGACAATCAACAGCCTTAAAACAGTTTTACTTACCGAGGTCAGGCTTTGAACTGAACCAGAGTATTTACTGAAAAGTCCTCCATTTGCATAGATACAGGACTGAGATCCTTTTTCCTTGGCAGAGCTCAGAGAAAGAGTCAAGTTTTGTCGACTACTGGAACAACTAGAACCTAAGAGACACATTTATTTTAAAGCTCTTGCAAACTCAAAATATGGCTTCTTGTGCAAATATATCAAGAATTGCTCTTTTCAATAAAATTCAGTTTGGAAGCAAACAACAATTATTCTTTTATTTACAGTTCTACTTGAGAAATTACACATTAGAATTCACTGTCTGTAACAACAACTATACATTTTAGCTTAATTATTCGTCTATTCTATAAATAGATGATTCAGATCTGAATTTCTTTTTATTGAGATACACATGCAAGAATGGCAAAACCCATTGGTAATACACTATTGATAGAAAGATTTTTAATCCTGCTTCATTATTAAAACTTCACCTTTGACAAGAAGCCCAGCTTCTTTATAAGATACTGTAATTTTGTTTAAATTTTGAATTTGTCAAATTAGAAAGTCTAAAAATGTGAACCTACTCAGGTGTTCCATCCTATGGAGACGATTAGAGGGATGGAGCACCTCCCCTCTGAGCAAAGGCTGAAAGTTGGGGTTGTTCAGCCTGGAGAAGGCTCCAGGGAGACCTTACTGAAGCCTTTCAATATTTGAAGGTGACATATAAGAAAGATGGCCACAGACTTTTAAGCAGGGTCTGCTGCAATAGGATAAGGGGTCATGGTTTTAAAACTAAAAGAGGGCTGATTTACACCAGATAACAAGGAAGAAAGTTTTTACAATGAGAGTGCTAAAACACTGGAATGGATTGCCCAGAGAAGTCATGGATGCGGATGCCCCATCCCTGGAAACACTCAAGACCAGGTTGGCTGGGGCTGTGATCAACCTGGTCTAACTGAAGATATCCCTGCTCAATGAAGGGGTTGGACTGGATGAACTTTAAAAGCCCCTTCCAACCCAAACTATTCCATGATCAAAGGAAAATAATTTGGTTTGCTACTACAGTTATGCATACCCATCCCCTTACACAACTTTCTTTCCCCTCCAAGAAAACAAAAAAAAAACCCTAACTTGGGGGTTCCATGACTTACCTTTTTCTGAAGCAGCTGCTTTGGTACACTCTAATACGAGATGAGCTGGCTCCCATGCTGGCACTTTCTTGTTTTTCTTTCCACGTCTCCTTTTAAAGTGATGGGCCAGAAAAATCACAGATATTGCACTCACTGCTGTTACTGTGAAAAGCTTCTTTAACCCTGGGGAAAGCTTTATCTGAAAATAAGAGTGTGATTTAATTGCAAATATATATACACTGAGAGACAGACTGGAGCACCAAGAACTGTAAGGTATATTGCAAATCCACAGACTATGGGGATCTAAACAAATTACTTTCAAACACAGATTAGGAGTTTTTAAATTTCTTCTTAATGCCAGAACAATGCAGGGCTTCAATTAAATCTCTAACAGCAAAAAATACTGAGAAGGAACTCACCTTTCCCAACTACACTACTTCTTGCACTGTGAAAGAGTGGAAGATCCTAATGCCAACATCCGTGTGGTGTTTCAATTTGAGTAGAACATGTATTTAAATATATTTCTCTAAATTAAGTTTTGAAAAAAAAAATTACATTTTACTTTGGATCTAGATCAGCCATAAATCTATAGGTGTTTAAATTAGTAAATAAGAGCCACATGGACAAGCAACTTGTATCAAAAGTAATTAACAAAAGTTGTAACATGCGAAGTAACAAGATACACAAAGAAGAAAAGTGCCATTTAACTGGAAACCACAGTTCACATTCACAAAGTCTTTTGGAAACTTATGCTGCTTGAGGAACAGAATGCTGGGAGAAAACCAGATCCACAGTCCTTGTGCCTCATATGGTGTTTGTGTAACACGATTCCTCATACCAGAGAGAGCACACAGCCCCACTGCACTCTGGCACTCCTGGTTGCTGTGCAGTTGCTAAAGACTATCACTACTGTGCAATCTGAAGAAACATTGAAAGCTTCTCTCTACACTGAGTTTACAGTCAACAAGTCAAGCACCTTTGATTTGAGAACCCTGCCCTTCCTGGTACCATGCCTTGACTGAGGTCTGCAATTACCACTGCACTCGTGGGGAAAAGGAAATGCCTGGAACACAGCACCAGCACAAAACTTACAAAATTTACAAAGTGTATTTAGTGTATTTCACAGAAAAGAGTTAACAACCAAACACCTGAGATTAAAACCTCTAAGATCACAAAATTAAATGTTAAAATATTGCAGTTTCAAAGAACTGCAGAAGGATTTTTCTAAATTTGTGCATGCCCTCAAACATGATCGTAAATTGATCAACAGTGAAACGAAAACCTCTAAAAAGAGGAAAGTTAATAGCTGCACATAAGGGAGTTGCATGTGGTATTTAAAAAGGACATGAGTATGCTGCCACATGAAAAAGAAAACAGTGATCTTGCAGAGAGAGTTCTGAGGTATTTAATATATTAAAAAATGTGGAAATGAGCATATGCAGCTAAGACTGAGAATATCTTATCCTAGTTTTATATGCAGTAAAAGTACCTACAAGGAACTGTGAAATATGCCATAGCTTCTGCTTATAAGCATCTGAGGTATTTAATATATTAAAAAATGTGGAAATGAGCATATGCAGCTAAGGCTGAGAATATCTTATCCTGGTTTTATATGCAGTAAAAGAAAAGTACCTACAAGGAACTGTGAAATGTGGCATAGCTTCGGTTTATAAGTGTGTAATTCAATAGTCATATTAAAAACCTAGTTTGAAAAGCAAACACAATACTATTATTCAAAATTTAATGACAGTTAAATGTTTAGCTTGTAAACACAAAAAAATCTACAAGAAAAAAAAACAATTTGAGAATTTTTATATTTTGAGAATCACTGCGCTGTTACAAAATGGAGATATATAGACACTGCAGGGAAAGCAGATGTATGATGATGTACTAAGCATTTATTAGCAGAAAAAGACAAAAAGACACACTTATTTTAGTGCAGTGTTATAAACAAACTAAACCTCAATGTATTCTATATGAATTTAATTCACAGTCACAAGAGCATGTACAACACTGCAATAAACTTCTAAATGTATAACAAAAGTCACAAAATTTAGATAATGTATTTCTTACCTGGTTAAGAGAATAATACCAGGAAAGGGGAAGGTTAAACACCCGTAAAGCTACTGTCTTCAGAGAAAATCGTGTCTCAGTAGCAGCTTCTTCTGACATGGCTCCTTCTCTCCCATACCTCATTAAGCGAAACTATCTTGGAAACAATCACAGATGGTCTCTGGAATGTTCTGGCAAAAGAAGGATACATACTATGAAGATGTAAAGGATGCATAACTATGCAAGGATGCATCCTTTCTAAAAGGATGTATAACTATGCAACAGAAGCCCAGGACATTTTTCTTCTACAAGCTCGAATCTCTTCAATCACAGGTACATGACTTGTTTGATTGATGTTTTTGAGCAGAGGCAAGACTTAAATGTGGAGACAGCAAATTTGCTGGTTCGGCTTAGGCCCCGTTTGTCCGACTGCTGTGTGCAGATGTGCAGCTGCACAACACCCAGGACTAAGGAGGCTGGGTCTGGCTGGATTAGCCGGCCGCTCCCGCGCTACAGCCTCTAAGGCACGCACGGCAACACCCTGCCTCTGAAACCACGACTGCTGCAAGAACACATCTGCCACCTGAAAGAATTAAAAGATTTGTGGGCAGCTAGTAAAAGTTTATCATCTCGTTTATTTTGCAGACACACCACGAGACACGACCACTATAGCCTGACGTAATCTCCCCGATGCAGGCACACCTCTCTCACTCCCTGATGCTGAACACAAGGCGAAGCCTCCGAGCCGCGACTCCGGGACCGCAGCCGTGGCACGGCGGGAGGCGATGGAGGCCCCGGGGCAGAAGCCACCTCCGCCGAGCCCTCCCCAGCCCGGGCAGCCCCGGCATCACGGGCGGGCAGAACCGAGTGCCCCACGCGCCGCTCAGCCCCCTCCCCGCAGCCGCCCGGGTCAAAGCGGGCGCGCCTCTCGCCGGGCCCGTGCCGGGTCGCTACAGCCGCCGCACTCAGTTATTACCTACCTGCCCGCCGAGCACCGGGGCGCGGGCAGTTCCCTCCGCTCCGGCCCCGGCGCTGCCCGGAGACCGGCGGGATCCGCTTCCGGCAGAGGAAGAAGCGGCCGCTGTCAGCCGGGAGGAGCCACTACCACGTGAGGGAGACCTGTGCCGTCAGGACTCCGCGCCCGCCATCTTTGCTCCGGGCAGCCCCGCTGCGGGCTGTCGGGCGGGGGCGGGGCGCGCACCTTGGGCCGCCATCTTTGTGAGGGGCAGCTCTCACATGAGCGGCTGAGGTTCTCGGCGCCGCCATCTTTGTGCGGGGCGCGTCCCGCGGCGGCGTCGCGGCAGCCGCGCCCGCCCGGCCGCGCGTGTGCGGGGCGGCACCGGCGGAGCTGCGGCCCGGGCGCGCCCAGCTCCGCCACGGCAGCCCCACTGTCCCCGCAGGCAAGGGCGAGACGCGGGGCTGGTCGCGGCCCGGCTGAGCTCCGGGGTCCGTGCGCGGCGCATCCTCCCGGCCGCTCCGGTAAGAGAGGAAGGGCCCGTTTGGGCAGCGGCGGAGGGTTCGGTCTGGCGGGGGCTGGGAGCGCGGCGGGCCGTGCGTCTGGCTGGTTCCACAGCCCAAGGCGTGTTGGTGCGGCGGTGGCGGCCGCCCCGGGAGCCGTCCCGGCGGCCGGAGCGCCGCGGTCCCGCAGGGCTGGGCGGGGGCCGGAGGTCGGCGGTGCCCGGTGCGGGGCAGCGGGGCCGTGTGGGGCGGGACCGCCCTCCCGCCCGCTGGAAGCGGCCTCGGAGCTCCGCAGGTCCCTGCTGAAGCTGCAGCTGTGCGGCAGCGGTACCGCGGGTACCGCGCGGTCCTGAACCCAGTAATTTACCGATAAATGGCCCTGTCCGCTCCCCGAGTTACCCATGCGGATGGATCATCGGGTGTGAGGGGTGGAACAGCCTGCGGGAAAAGTCCGGGGTATCACCTAGTGGAAAATCACTGTAGGCTTCTCCTGCGCTTAGGCAAAGCCCGGGTTAGGAAAATCCTCTTAGAAATATAGAGGTTAGCTAATGGGTTTCATGGTTAGGATGTAGCGTGGTGGAAGAAAGAAACGAAAGAGTAGCCTGTGTGCTCTGAAAGCCAGTATGAAATGAAAACTGGAAGAGGGTATATCCTTGTAAGAGGATATACCTTAACTCCAGAATATTTTTAAGTGTCTTTTCTCTGTTGGAACAGTACTTAGGGACGGAAAAAGAACTTAATGGAAATGACTTACCAATTTTTGTCTTGCTTGAGTGGGTAGCTCTTGGTGCCGGAGGAGAAAGACCAGGTACCTTTGACCTGGTTACTGAGCACACTTTTGTCATTTAGTGGGAAAATACCAGGTTTTATGGTAAATAGATATAAATTAAGTTCTCTACCAGAGCTGGGATTGGTGGTGTTTTTTTCAAGAAGTGGGATGCACTTGTTTATTGTTGATAGATTAGAAAAAGATAAAAATACAGAGGGATGTGAGATAAAATTCAATTTAATTTATTGATTAACGGAATATAAAAGAACCTAGGTCAAGAAATAGGAAAGATGAACCTTAATTTGACACACTAAAAAGACTAATTTTAAGTTTGGTAAAAATATCATTCATGTACAAAAGTAATTGAAGGAATTTCTGTAAAATTTCATTAAAACAACACAGATTTTTAGAAAAGTGATTAAAATATGTAACTTAACAATTTGTCTATGCATAAGGCTTCAGTGGGCTTTTGTAGCTTTGAGTGAATGCTGGTGGGTTTTTTTCTGAAGAATATTAATATGGTAGGTAATTACTGAACTTCCAGACCTCCTTACTATTCTAAGTAATTAAGTGTTCAGGTACAAAGTTGCACCCTGTGTCACTCTTGCTTTGTTGCTATAAAATATAAAAAAATGTTAAATGAAATTGTTCCAGTGCATCACTGGTAAAATAACTGTGAGTGCACCGAAGAAGCCTGAGCTTACAGATTACTGGTTTGAGATGCTGTTATTCAGAGCTGTACTGACAAAATAATAAAAGCCTGTAATGAAGACACAATTGCTGCTTCATGTAATTGATGTCTTCAGAATAATCCTTTTATTCTTAAAATCTTCCATCAGCATTCCCTTACTGAACTCTGTAAAATGATCTGTTAAAACAGCTCCATATTTAGAATATCAGTGGAATACATAAAACATACAATTGTTTTTTTCAGCATCTGTTGAAGTGCTGTAACTAGGCAGATGAAATCATTAATCCAAAAATTTTTGAAATAATTTAAAGTCTGTTTTGTTTCTTCAGGAAATATTGGGTTCCTTACATGACCCAAAGATAATTTTTGAGATTGTTTGAATTTCGTAGTGTTTGATGGAGTTTTCTGTGGGTCTGACAGGCCTTCCACGGTAGGCACCACACAGGTCTGTGATGCTGTGGAATTCTGTTGAATAATAAGCAGGTTGCTGGTCATGATGCTTTGAATTATGGTCCACATTTCTCTGATGGCTCAATTTTGTTTTTCTTGGGGAATGAAAAGACTAGTCAGGAACACAAAAAACCCTCCAAGATTGGACTTGAAGAGAGTTTTTTCTTTGGATTGTGGGTTTGGGCATGCTCAAAGCAAAATTCTGTTGATGAAGTCCTACTTTGGAGCATTAATTACTTCACTTCATGGGGTGGGGTAATATGAAGCATTGAGATAGGTGTACTGAGACATCTGAGAGAAAGCAATGGAGAGAGCTGGCAATAGACTGGGAGAGAAATTCCCTCCCAGATCTGTGGGAAGCATTTGATGAAAACCTTATTGCATGAGTGTGATCACGAGCAGTTGGTGTGGAAACAGGCTGAGAGAGCTGAGCTGTTCAGCCAGGAGAAGAGAGGGACATCTTACACAAGAGACTTGGAGCAGGACTTTTCACAAGGACCTGTAGTGATAGGACAAGGAGAATGGCTTTGAACTCAGAGGGCAGGTTTAGGTTAGGTATTAGGAAGAAATTCTTTACTGTGAGGGTGGTGAGGCACTGGAACAGGTTGTTCAGACAAATTGTGGATGCCCCATCCTGGAAGTGTCTGAGGCCAGCCTGGATGGGGCCCTGGGCAACCTGATCTCGTGAGTGGCATCCCTGCCCATGGTAGGGGGTTTGGAACCAGATGATCTCTAAGATTTCTTCCAACCCAAACCATTCTCTGATTGTGTGATCTCACTGGGATCATGAAATGGAGATATGCTCCAGCTTCAGAACGGGAGTATAACATGGAATGTAAGAGAAGCTACAAATCCTGTTGGATTATTTTGAGTTTTTTTTCAAATACTGAAAATGGAGAAAAACAATTTTTGGATGATGCCAACGCAATGCAGAAGCTGGTGTAAAAGCAGATGTGAGAATGAGCTGCAGGGGAAGAAATGCAATCTCTTCAGATAGAGTAGGAAGTGGTGAAATGGAGGAAGGTCACTGAGCAAGGGAGGGGCTACCCTGGGCTGGCTAGGACTTAGAGAGGTGAAGGATGAGTCATGGTTTTGAATTAATTTTACAGTTTTAGACTTTAACATAAAATTCTACGAAATGTGTTTCTGCAGCTATGTATATTAAAATACCAAGGTTATGGCAGTAGAGTGAGTTATCACAGTGCTGCAAGATGGAAGGAGCTGTGTAAAAAAAATTGTTAACGAAAGGTGGAAGAAAGGCCACTCAGCTTTGTTCATCTAATGACATGTGAAGAATTTGTAACATGAGCTACACTTCCACAAGAGATGCTCTCCATATGGACAGGAATAGGGACGGCATCCACAGGGACGTGAGTTTGAACAGCTTTGGCCTCTCTGATGATTGTTACAAAAAGAGAGATGCAGATTGCACCAAGAAACAGAAACTAGCATGAGCAGAACTCCTGAGTTTGGGTTTGTTCAGGACTGCAGGTTTGGATTTGTGGAGTTTTGTGTATGAAAAGTTAAATACAAATTGAATACAAATCTGGCAGCATGAGGTGAAGTCTCCATTCATTGCTTGTATTACTTGTAATAATGCATTCAGAAAGCTTCTGCCATAAAAAAACTAAGCCTGAAGCTTTACTAATCCATTATATCAGTCTTTTTAAAGCATTTCTATTAAATCATCTCACTGGATTTAATGTGCTCAGGGCTTTATTTGAAACTCACTTGTCCTTTTTAAATGTTTTAACAGAACTTGTAAACTGTGGAAGACGTAACATGCATTCATGTTGCAATTTCTGTTCTGGAAGGGAACCTTACAGTTTAAAGAGGAATTGCTAATATGATCGAAGTTGAGGAGGTTTGGCTTGAAAAACTGTTGCCTTATTTGAAGTGTCTTTCAGTAACAGTGCATATAGATTATAGTCAGTTAGTGAACTGAGAAAGTACTTCTCCAGCTGGAGCTTATGTTTTAGAATAATGTATTTTAACTGTCATGCCACTGGTCCTGAAAGAGAATTCATATCTCATCTAGAAAAAAAAATCCTAAATGATTAATTTACTGCAGTATTTTCAGTCTTGTGAGATAAGTTCTGAAATACCTTATTGAACAACTGTTAACATGATGTTAAAGACTGAAACATATATTCATACTTATGAGTCTATATATAATAATTATATTATTATATATAAGTAATTGTTTATATATTAAAATGTATTTAAGTGTATATGCACGTATATACATATCTGCATGTATTAGGACATGAAGTATCTATTATTCCATAACAAATAATGTGTAATTCTTCAATAATATTACTTCTGTAACAATGTTTATAGCAATAAAACAGAGTATTTATACACATACACACATGTATCGAAAAATGATCAAAGGGAGCTGAAATGGCTCTTGATTCAAAGGGATCTTATTGCAAGGCAGCAGAAGGAAAAAGTAAGTCAGACATAATAAGCTGAAAGTTTACCCGGGAATGTTCTGAGATGCCCATTAGGCAAGGTTTGTTTTCCCCCACTCTTTGTCAAAGCTGTAGCGTGCTTAGTATTGAAATGAGTCCTTTAAGTGGAAGGAGCAAACCTAAAGCTGCCAAAGCACACAGGCAAAGTGGAAAGAGGTGTTGATAACAGTGCCAAAGGCTGCAAACAAATCAAGGAGGGTACATCACTGAGTTGAAGTTTATTTGCAAGTCTTGATAAAGGAGCACTATATTGGACAGATATTGGACAGAATAATTGAGCAGAACAAGTTAATTTTTTTGGCCTTTAGAGAGATTAAGTCATCAATCGTAATTGTTTAAGTGACAAAACTGAAACAAAGTTATTGGATAGTCCCTGTCTGAATGAGTCAGTTGGAGTATTTATATAAAAAGAACATTACAGAGTTGTTATTTTTATTTTCCTTCTGTTGCTTTCTATGCAACTATTGAAATAATAATGACAAAGTGATTGTATGTAGCATTCTTTATTTCTGATAAGTTTCTATGTCTATGCCAGAGACCTTAGAAGGGCAAAGAGAACAAGATGAAAGTGTTGCTGAGTGTTTAGGGCTATGTGTGAGTCACGAGTTTCAGTCTACTTTGATATATAATATGTCTGAATCTAGAATGCAACTTTGTAAATAAATAAAACCAAGATAAAGTTTCTCTGTCATGTGGTAAACGAGTCTTGTGTTCCTGCAGTTTAGCCTTCACTCAGCAGTGAAGATCCTTTTCCAGAACATACAGGCAAAGCCACTGTCAGTTCTATGTTGGCTTGAAAACTAATGTTTGTATCATTTGGGTGCCATGGCAGAGTCCAGAAAGTTAAAGAAATAACCCAAATCACCCCTGCTCCATTCAGCATTCTTTTAGTTTATGACTTAGAAGTCATCGGATTTCATTTTAAAAGTCAGCAATAGTTTTGGGCTAGTGGAGTCTCTTTATAAAGTTCTTTATACTAACTTAGTCGAAAGAGGGACATTGTTTTAAAAGTTATGTATGTGTTGGATATTAGATATCTAGTATTGCTGTCTATTCTAAGGAATTGGGTTTTACTCATTCTTACTTCCGTTGACAGGTAATTCCCTGGTGTTGAAAATTGCAGCTACATCATCTCAGAAAATACAGCTTCAGTGATGTCGTCACCCAGCAGCAATTGCCCACACCTGGAATCAGTTGGTGAGATAACAAAGGAGGAACTGATACAGAAATCTCATGTGAGTTGTAGCAATTCACTTTCTTCCTATCACTGTTAACTGGTCAGGTTTTTTAGGTCCACATTTTAGGGTATTATTAGTTATAAGGTGCATTTAAGTGTCAAGCATGGGTAAAAGCTCCTCTGCTGGAATAGTAGGGTTTAAATAAATTATGAGAAGAATTGTGGGCTTGATGAAGCTGAAAATCTATTTTTCAGCACTTAAAGAGCACCTTTGCCACAAGTGATGTTTTATTGGAATCATTAGTTAGAAGAGTTAGTAGAGCACCAAGCTGAATTTCATTTTCATTGCACCAAGCAGCATTTAGTTACTTGGACTGTCAATGTAGTATAGCACTACTGACTTCAAGTAGAAATTGTAACAAAGAAATTTATGCTTGAGTTTACTTGGGTAACAGTTCTATTTTTGATGGAGAAGCCACAGTTTGAGAAGCCTCCTGTCCCTGAACTCTTGGTTTCAAACTAGTATTAATAAATGGAACAAGGAACATCTTGTAGCTCATTTAAGTAGTTGGGAGGTGATGAAAAGTGAAAACTTTTCTGTCCATGGTGCTTAATTTCTAGAACAGTTAATTTGCTGCTGAGGAGTACAGCATTTTCCTCCTATTGCATCTTGTTTCTATGAAGCTGTGCAGGTGGTGTCTGCAAGAAGCAATGTAAATTTATTAAAAGTTCTATCACTATAATTTCTTTTTATGTTAAATTTATAGGAAAGACCAATTATGAGGATTATTATAATTATGTGGCAGAGTGATATTTATGCCTTACTTAGAAAAGCAATTTTTGGTTTAAAATTAAAACTCAAAGATAAATCTGACATTTTAGCTGAAAAATATGCTGATCTTGAGATTATGGGAAGCAAAAACTAGGTTGTTATCACCATATCCCTTTTTAAAAGTTAACTTTAAAGTCTTAAAGGTATTAATCTGGTACTAAGCTTTACAGTATTTTTTCTCATTTTGTCTTGAAGTTGTGGTTTACTGGTGAAAGTAAGTGAAATGAAACTTGCTTTTGTGTTGAACTTTAATAGGGCACTTGCCAGGACTGTAAAGTCAGAGGACCAAACCTTTGGGCATGCTTAGAGGTAAGTGGTTCTGTTGTTCTGCAGTAGAGTCATTTTCTAGTAAAGATAAAGTTGGTAGTACTTTTTTTAGGAAACATCTGTAATGAAGTTCTTGAAGTTAGTTAACTTATCATTTAAAAGCAAAATTTCTTCTACAGTTCTTTATTTTTTAAATTATTTACCTTCTATTGGGTACATACTTCCTAATTTAATAATAACATGCTTAAAATGATCTTTTTTTATAAGTAGGAAGGTAGCATATTAGTGTTTTTACTTGAGTTATGGTACTTTTTAGCTCTTAAATTTTGAAGGTTTTTTTAATCTTTTCCTTGGGTTGATAGATCTAAAAAATAATATATTATTCCTCAGTTAATTAAATTACTTTTTGTAAGCCTTTCTTAGCATTTGTAGTCATAACATCTAGTAGTGAATGCAGATATTTTACAGAATAATGCATACTCGGACTTTTGTTCCTAAGCAAAACAGAAAAAACTCCTTGTTTTGAAACTTGCAGAAGCTTGTGTGAACATTCTCCTTACTTTGTACATATTTCATACAGTCTTTACCCTGGGTATAGCTCTGTCAGAAATCAGCTTTTGCCTGACTCTCCTTGCTGTCTACAAAAAACTGTAATTTTCACTGTATTTAAAGAAAATACAAACACGTTGCTGACCAATCTATGATCCCAACTGAAAAGCATGTAGTTAACTTAGTTTCTAAAATGTCTTGTCAGTTCTTTGGACTTTTTGTAGCTGTTTACAGAGATTGAAATTTTGCCCTGTAGGCTTGACTTCATTTAATGGCAATTTTTCTTTAAGTACTGTCAGAAGGATCTCTAGGCTAATGCCCCTCTCTAAGTGTATGTATGAGCATTTTAAAAATCCCCTTCATTTGTGTCCTTTCAAGTGGACGGTGGTAACAATTAAGAGATCAGATTATTTTGCTCCTTCTACCAATAACAGAGATGAAGGGGGAGAGAAACAATGTTTAATGTCTTTTGTTAGCTCACCTGAAATTTTAATTATGTGTAAACCTCTTGGGAGTGGGGAAGAGGTGTTCAGGGATGCATCTACCTGGCAGGTGGGAAAATGCTATGAAGCTTAAAACAGGGTTTTTATTTTTCACATAGAGCTCTTAGACTATTACTGAAAAACTAAATTTTATACTAACATTTCCATAGGAGAGTCTTGTAGTTGAAGTAGGACACTTAATGTCATGCTGTGATGTTTCTCCTGTTGGATGAATTGGCATCTTGTCTTCACCTTTTTCAGTAGAAAAACCTGGTGAGATCCCAGCATGTAAACAATCTGTAACTTATCAAATATCTGTGATTATTTAATATAGAAAATTGGCCATGTTCAGCTGCTATTTGGTTGTATAAATAACATGCTTATAGTTACACAGATAACCTGCTGTACCCTCCTGTGTGATTGGCCTGACTGATGCAAATGAAGAATTAGCAAAAATTGCTTGAAGATCAGCAGCTGCAAGATTCCACACTCGACTCAGCCAAATATATTTTGCAATGAACATGATTAAAATTGGCAATTATTTTGCATGTTATAACTAGAAGATGGCAAGTTCTTGGCCACATAGTGCTGCAAACTTATGTAAAGGTGAAGAGGCTGATTAGTTGTGGAGTAATGCTCTGATGAGTAGGCACTGCAGATAGGGGCATGCAGGGATTTTTGTATGAACATGTCTGAGCCTGTTGCCATTCAGTATTTCACCACTCAGACACTGGATTAACTTTGTATTTTCTGTAACAATCTTGACCAAATAAAGAATTGTAAAAATACATGTTGTCAGTAATATGAATAAATATATAGATATTGCCATAAAATTCTATTCTACATTGCCCATCAGTGTGAGAAGTTGAGTTAAATCTTGCAGCATTCTTTTCTGTTTTAGGTGATATTTATTCCATTGTTTACTGTGCATGTCTCTTGGTTTGTGTAGGACTCAAGTCCTACAAGTTTGAAATTTGAGTGGATTTTGAAGGGACTGGCAGTACGTTCCTATTCTGTAAACCTGTTTGAGACCACTTTTTAATTCTGTGTATCTTGCCCAACAGAACAGGTGTACATATGTTGGCTGTGGTGAATCCCATGTTGATCACAGTACCACCCATTCCCAGGTATGTGTATTTGCTGGTAACACAGTTCCTTAAAGCAATGGAGCTAAAGAACTTTTATTTCAGTGAAGTCAATACCCTGTGTTAGCTGATGGTCTGGAGGTTTGATTAGCTGTGATTGTTTTTCATGTTACAGAAGCAGATCTTGCTAATTTAGGAGTATGTGAGTTTACATGTTTTGTGCAGCTGCATAATTATGCAATTCTTCTAAAGAAGATGGTGCAAATGAAAAAAAGGACAATTAATACTGATGATTTTCAGGATGCTCAGATGAAAGACTTATTGAGTACCTCAGCTTATGTGTAGTACTTCACTACTTCAGTCTAAATTTCTGGGACAGTGACTGCCTGACGGGTAGGAGGAGGAAAACCTTTACAATAGACTCAGAACTGAGGTGTTTCTAGAGTACTTGGGGACCAGATGGTCCCTGAATTTCTTGCCTACAATTTTATACCTCTTGGCTTCTTACAGTAGTTTATTCCTGCTTTGTATGCTGCCTGAGCAATGCTATGTACTTGCCAGGTAGGAGAAAGCAGGCAAGCTATTCATTCTCTGTCAGTGACATCCTTGTCTTGATTTTTGTATTGCTTAATTTTAATTTGAGGATAGGAAGCACTTTTCTGGCTTCTTCTTTAATAAATATCTCAAAGAACTTGTTAAAATGACAGAAGTGAGGTTGGCATGAATCAACTTCTGCTTACTCCAGTTTACACCAGCAAGGCTCCCTGTGCTGCAAATAGTTATGTTCATTGTGTCCACTCCAAGGAAATCATTAGGCCATTGCTCTGAAGTCTTTAATTATGTATGGATCTGAAGCTGCAGAATTAAGCATATTCTTGTGTTTAAAATTGTTTGACTTATTTATGTAAATCTGATGTTTTTAGTAGAGGGAGTGCTATCTAAGGAGATTTTAGCCTACTTTATATTAAAAATATTGTTCTTGTACAGGATTTTGCTAAATGAAGGGAGGAGGAAATTGGGCATCCTGCAGCAGTAGTGGTATTTTCCTAATTTCTAGCAAATCCCTTGTTGTTTATAAACTGGGCTGATACTGACATGTAAGGAAGAAACACAGGAAGAATTGGTGAAAATATTTGGAGGAAGATAGCAATTGTGTGCCAAATCTTACATTAAGGATGTTAAAAAATATTAAGATTTTAACAAGAAAAATGTTCTTCATCTGTCAAGTTTATATTGCTTCAGAGAGTGAAGCTGTCAACAAAGTAACTATTTGAGTCTAGAATTTTTGCTTTAATATGAGGATCTGTTACTGTGACTGAACTAAAAGTTTTATCTTAGTCTTCAGATTGTTGCAAATAGCCTGAATTTCTTGCAGCAAACCCGTAGAAATAAACATCGTAGAGGAGGTAGCTCCCATTGTGGCCAGTTACAGATATTCCTTGAAAACTGGTTCATTGTGAATTGTAGCACTTCTAACAAGAATAAGAAGGCTTTCTTCTTATTTTTTTAATTAAGAGTGGCATGTCAGATATGACAGTGTCTTAGATTCTGATTGCATCTTATTGCTAGTTTGAGTGATCTGTACTAAAAATAAATGTTTGTGCTGGAATTTAGCAACCAAATTGCTCTTTTTTAGTATTCTAACACACATACTTGTTTCATTTATGAAAAACCTAGAATTTTAATATATCTATTCTAGATTGCATGTAGCAGTATTTAGATATTCCCAGTTTCTGAATCCCAGTTGTGTTTTTTGTTCTGTTTTAGGAGACAAAGCACTGTTTAACTGTCAACCTTACTACTCTCCGTGTTTGGTGTTATGCCTGTAGTAAGGAAGTATTCCTGGACAGAAAATTAGGATCTCATTCTCCACTACCAAGCACAAGATTGTCTCACCAAGCACAAGAAAACAGTGTGCAGGTATTTTTTAACCCAATGGAACAAAGGCAGCTGTAGCTTTGCAATAAACATTGTGTTTTCTATTAAATGAGAGACTGACTTTTCCTCCATTATTGTAGCTGAACTTTCTATTAATGCCTCTCTTTTTTTATAAAACTTTTTTGGCTTTACTGGCATCACTAGTGTTCACTCTGATCTTTTTTTCTTAGATAAGTGTTGTCTTGGAAAAAGTTACACTGCAATTTCTGAAGTACAATTGTTTGGAATAATGCTTGTAGCTGAAAAAAGAAGTGTTATTTCTTTATTGCATGTGTAATGCAGTTACATAAACATGACAGGTAACTAGGTTAAAAGTCACAAATAGAAGTATAGTATTTCTAAATGTGTTCTGCTTGAGACATCGAGCAATAGAAGATTTGTTCTTGCACAGTTTGAACAAAAAGATGGGCAGTTTTTCAGTCTGTATAATAAAGAAATATATTTACTTCAAAGTTTAGTATTTAATGTGAATGTAATCTGATAATTTTCTCATAAACTGCCAGCAGCTCAATTGGAATATCACAATTGGAATTTAAAAAATTCTGTCATCTAAAAGTTTTTGCCACTTGATATAAAGCCGAGTTCAGACTTCTGAATTTCTGTTCTATTGTATTTAACCTTCTTTAGTCTTCCAAGGAAGCAGGTATGATATGCAGAAAAATCAGTGGAACTTACAACATCTGTGAAGCATCTTGTTTAGGGTTTTTATTTATGTGCTCACAAAAAGAGCCTTTTATTCAATAAATGACTGCCTGTCTAGTAGTTTGTTTCTCTATTTGTACATTTTTCTTTCAAGAGTTTAATTTGTCTTCAATAACTGTAGTGAGCCATCTGGTGGCACATCAAAAACACCTACACTAGCTTGGGTGATAACTCCTGCCTTTGCTCTTCCATGCTGGCTGCTTTGTTATCCAGGGGGAAGAAATGCCATCCCTGGCTTTGTTTTGGTTCTTCAGCTGTTGTTATAAAAATCATGCAGCAATCCGAGAACAAAAACATGGTGGGGTTCTTAGTAAACTTTCTCAGGGTACCTGTGAAATCCTGGTGTTCTCACTTCCTGTGCAATGAGATTTTAAAATTTATTCACATAATTTTCCAGTTCTAGATTTGTTGGTAAAATTACACATAGGCTTAATTAAGTAGAAAAGTGATGAATTAAAGTAAATATTCTTTTCCTCCTTTTAAGGATTTTAAAATACCCAGTAATCCCACACTGAAGATTCCATTAGCAGCTGTATTTGATGACTTAGATATAGAAGTGGAAGAAGATGAATTGAAGACCAGAGGTAATAAAAGCAAAACCCTGTGCATTATTTTTCTACTCCAACTCAGGTGTTTATTTTTAGTTTTGCCTTTCTTGCAGCAATCTTTCTTACCTTCAGAGCAGAGGCTGTTGCCTGAGTTTAGCTATTGCCAAAGCATGTTGGAGTAATGTTCAGTACAGTTAGTATTGTAGCCACTCTGGTTCAAGTAGGCTTTTTAAAAATCTGCTCTACTGGTTTTGCCTGTCCTGAAAGATTCCTGATTTAAATACTTTCCTGCATTTTGAATAATACTTTTATGAGCCTGTAGTATCCTAGTGTAGTGTTTTGGTTATTTGTTTTCTCCTTGACATTTCATGCACTGCCAAACTTTCTCGTATCAGAGATTACCCCACCCTAATACTAAATCTAGTGTAAAGATGAAAATTAGAGTGATGAAATCCTAAACAGTGAAGCTAATCCCAAGCAGTGAAGCTTTAATCTTTCATTTCATAAGAGAACATAATAATTACTATATGTTAAAATCCTCTAATTATTGTTGATCATTCTAAAAACTATGTGTGTTTTCGATGGTAAAGAAAATATTGCTACGTACCATTTTTTCAGAAAAATATGACTAGCAGATTGTTGAGCTGTTATTTTTGAGATACCATTGCATATGTCAAGGCAGTTTGTTTTCCATCAGTGATGAGAAAAAAGTTATTCTAATTTATGCATATGCCAGTTTTGGCTGGGCAAGAGTTAGTTATCTTCAGAGTAGCTGCTCTGGGGCTGTGTTTTTGGATTTGTGCTAACAACAGGTTGATAATGTAGAGATGTTATTGCTTAGCAGGACTTGCACACAGTCAACCTTTTCTGTTTCCCACACCACCCACCAGGTAGTGGGTTGGGGGTGCTCAGGAAGTTGGGAGGGGACACAACTGGGACAGCTGACCCAAGTGATCAGTGGGATAATCCATAACATGTGGCATCGTGGGAGAGGAACAAGGAAGATAGGGACTTTCAGAGTTAGGGTGTTTGTCTTCCCGAGTGACAATTATTCATGATGGAGCCCTGCTTTCCTGGAGGTGACAAAACACCTCCCTGTCTGGGAGAAGTGGTGAATGAATGCCTTGTTTTGCTTTGCGTGTGCAAACAGCTTTTGCTTCACCTTTAAAATTGTCTTTATCTCAACCCATGAGTTTTCTCACTTTTACAATTCCCTGCCCATCCCACCATTAGTGAGTGAGTGAGCAGCTCTGGGGCATTGAGTTGCTGGCTGGAGTTAAACCACAGCAGTGGATCTCATTTCTCCTTCACTCAGCTACTACCAGCTTTCCCTCTCCTAAGTCTGCTGGCATTGGTCAGAAAACCTGCCTTGTCCCTTCTGTTGTCTGGCACAGTCTTACAGGATGTGACACCACCCCACTAATTTGCCATCTGCCCTTAGATCATTACACCATGTGTTCTATTCCTAGTTAGTTTCTCCAACCAATGTGTCTGTTTGTATATTTTTATCTCTTCTTGTATTATTAATATTTTGGAGAATGTAGCTTACCTTGCAATAGTATACAATTAGAATTGCATTAAAGTTCCCAGTAATGATGATATGACTGTTAAGACACTTACTCAAACTGAAGGGAAGAAACTTCTTTAGCTTTGTTTTAACGTTGCTCCTAAAATTTCTTTTGGAATGCTTTTGATAAAGCAAATATTAGAATATATCTTCACAAGAAAAGAAGTCCGTTTGAAAACTTTCCTTGTGATACTACAGGCTGGAAAAATGCACTGAGAGTATCTTCCTGAAGTATGTGCTGCTTCTAAAAAACTGAAATAAAATCAAAATCCTCTAACTGTTCTTGCTTTCCAATTTCAGTAAAAGAATCATTGTTCTCTTTGTAGCAGAATTTGGAATGCATGTTCAGGTACAGGAAGCAGGGTTGTATTTCCATTCAGACAGATAGAAGGACATTGAAAAACTTAATTTTGAAGTCCTGTCTATTAGAAATTGTAACTGAAGTAACACAAGTGGTTTTCAGATGTAGAAAGATTTTATTAGTAACTTTTATTTTTCTGCCATAGACCAAAACCACCAGGAGAGTTCCTATACTTCAAAATTGCACAGTTATCAGTACTGATTGCTGAATATTTGTCAAGATTTTAAAATTTTTGGGTCTTACTGATTCTTAGTTTAGAAATGTTACTGTTCCCTCATACAAAATCAGTTTTATTTTTATATATTACTTCATTGATGTAGTACTTTAGTAGCTATGAATAGCATAATTCATAATTATGGAAAGAATATATGTCAATTGTGACTTTCAGGTGTGTGGAAAAGGTGTATATATATGGCTATCTATAAAGAAAGTAAACTGTGTGAGTTAGAAAATAAACTGTGTAGGAAAGTCTAAATTGAGGAATCTGTTAATAAAAATAAAGGTATATCATTGGAATAGAAAAGGACTAATTGCAGGACTAGCCTGGGATAATGACATGCTGAGTAGGTTTTGAATATTGAGCGTAATCTGATTTAGTGTGAATTTGGGACAGAAGAGTGAAATCTTTGAGAAGCTTTTGGTAATGTGATTAGTTACAAATGCAGCATAGCAACTGTTTAACTGAACAGGTAAGTCATTAAGCTGAAGTAAAACTTTGGTGTTGATAAACATATTTTAAATTAAAGTCTGCAGGTGTCGTAAACCATGAAAAGTTAGTAAGATGAAATATAACCCACTTGTCTGAAGTGTTCTTTAGTCAGTTGAGATCAGAACACTTAATTACAACTTCTAGTTAGATTTGTATTCGTTTAGGAGTCCCATATTTCTTTTAGTTGCAATTCTGCATTATAATTGGCATCCCAAGTGTTCCATGGATATTTTGATTAGTATATATTTTCTAGCAATTATTGGATTAACAGACTTGTATTTATTCTGTTTTCCAGGTCTAACAGGATTAAAAAATATTGGAAACACTTGTTACATGAATGCAGCTTTACAAGCTCTTTCCAACTGGTGAGGAAAATGAGAGTTAATGCAATTTTATATTTGCTTATGCACGCAGATTTTCCAGATGGACTTAGGGGGTTTCATGAGATGCACTACCATGGAGGAGGACATATATTTGTTAAATCTGTGCTGTATACTGCAAACAATTTATTATGATATATGGGCCACTCAGCTTCTTCCCTGTTTCATTCTAATGCCTCCTAAATAAGAATATGTGCAGTTTTAGAGATTAGAAGAAAATCTGGAAAAAGCAAAGGAAATGCATAAGAATAAACTCTTAATTCAAAAGAAAAGAGAGATTAGAATCAGAATTCAGTTGTTAGAAACAATGTATCTGGAGCAGTCTGTGCTAAGTCATGGTAGGAGTGGTGGAGTGCAAAATCCCTTGTCATCCGTGGGTATTCTAGACAGGTTCATGAAGGAGAAATCTACAGCAATGGAAGAGATAGGGACAGCATCCCAGCTGGAAAGCTTCCTGCTGCAGGAGTGGCAGGTCCTGAGCAGGTGTCACACGGGGTCACGGTGAGCCACAGGCCAAGAGTGGGCAGGACTGAGGGCCTCGTTGAGGCTCTTGGATGACAGAGAGGAGAACTGAGGCAGATCTCTCTAGAAGACAAAGTGGAAAAGGCACCACGAAGAAAATATTCTGTTGAGGAATGCCAAATTTTGGAAGTATGTATGCTGGGATGTAATCTTTCTTGGAGAAAAATGAGTCCAACATATATGAGTGTTGTGACTTCATAAAGGAGGTTGAAAGGAGAGCAGAGAGTATGTGAGTTGGCAACACTGCATGAAGTAAACACTGCATGAAATAATCATTTAAGTATGAATTATTTGCCTACACACATCTTGTGACGCTGTTGGATTCTAGAGAAAAGATTTGTTTGGAATGGTGTTTATGGACTAGGCTCATGGTGAGGATTGCTGGAGTGGTACTGTGACAGCTTGTAGAAATTGCCTTGAATTTGAATCCCATTAGACAATTCTGGTGCTTTGAGAAATGTCAGAGCACGTTTGAGGAGCAGCGTGGCTGTACTGCTGAAGTTGTCCTACCAGGAAAAGTTTGGTTGCAGCATTTAAGAACGTAGGAAGTGGAATTGTTCAGTTACAGAATAGCAGAACTCTTTTGATATAATCCTGTTTGAAATGCAGATTTCCTCTTGTATTTTAACAACCTGAAAAAATTACTGTTTTCTTCTTTTTATTTAGCCCACCTTTGACACACTTTTTTCTTGACTGCGGGGGCTTAGCCCGAACAGATAAGAAACCTGCAATTTGTAAAAGTTACCTCAAGCTGATGACAGAACTCTGGCACAAAAGCAGGTATTAAATCATTTTGGTGATGAAACTGTAATAAATAAATTTCAGAGTCACGAGGGATGCATTAATCTGCCCTAGGTTTCTAATTTTTATGTGTTCACAGAATTCCTTTTAAAAAAAATTGGGAAGGAAAGACTGACTTGCAGGGCTTAAGCATTCCTTATAACGTGTTCTTTTTCATACATACCAAAGATAGGACAAGAAATAGGTTAGATTACAAGCATTAAGCTCTTAAAATGCTTATATTAGCCAGAAATACATCTAAAATATTTAGCTACTTTATCCTCTCTGTGTCCTTTGTTCCATATCAGTGTTTTATCAATTTCTCTTTATTTCCTTATATGGAATTTGTGTAATATCTAGCTAAGAAAATACTTCAAAATGTAAATGCAAAGGTGAAGAAACAGTAATTGTGCACAGAGCCAAGAGTATGTCTGATCTGTCATCTGATTGTCTGACAAGAAATGTGCCATAAAAGGCCTGATACAGTCACTGTTTCAGTTGAGTGACAATTTTTTAAAAATCATGTAATTAATAATTCAATGGCAGTATTATATTAAGATTAATATTATTGGTGTTTAGTTGCAGGTAACTCTATGATCCCAGTAAAGATAAAATCCATTTAAATGCTTTCTTTTTCAGTGTTTATATATTCAAAAATTCTTTTTTAGGCCTGGATCTGTTGTTCCTACTGGTTTATTTCAAGGAATTAAAACTGTTAATCCAATGTTTCGAGGCTACTCTCAACAGGTAAAACTTTCTTTTAAATCTGTCTTTCAAATCTGCCTAAGCCCTCTACTTATCTCTTAATTAGAAACCTAATGGTTGAGATACCTTACTTCCTATATTTGTTTAAAGCAAATGCAACATAAACCTTAATTAATATGACTTGAATGTAGATCAGATCATCTGAAATGGAACAATTGGTAGTTAAGTAGTGGTTTATATTTATTTATATCATATTCTCGAAAGGCCTTCAATGTAGAATAACTCCTTTTCTTTCAGGAAAATTCAAGTAGTAACTTCTCCCTTGGCTTGAAGTAATGCTGCTAATGTTTGAGCATTCCCAGAAAACGAGATGTTAAAAAATTTTAAAAAAATATAACAGATTTTTAATATATGTCTATCAGCGATGTTTAAAAAAAAAATGCAGTATACAGTTTCCATTTACTGTCTTGGAAAAAAGCCCACCAGCATTTGTGTGTTATGGAAACCACAGGTTGATAGCTTGATAAATAGGCAGTGATCATTATATAGCAAATATCAGTTCAGTTGCTTCAGTTGCTGCTTCATACAATATCTTGGTGCATTCATGCAGTGTGGAGCACTTCATTAAAAGCTTTAGGACTAGGTGAAAAATATATACCTTGTAATTAGAGAACCTTACTAGTATCTTCTGGGAATCTGCATTTATTAATAGGAATTTTGCTGGTTCCATTATGTTTCATATTTGTGGAGCGAAGGATTAGGACACATATTTTAATGTTCAATTGCTGCTTGTAGCTGTAAAGTCAATGTTTAAATACTAAGCTTAATATTCCATAATCTCATGAATTTCTGAAATGCCACCTAGATTTCTGAAAAAGCAGAAATTCAGCCTTGATAACCAAAAAGAAACTGTATGGAAACTTAATTATTGCAGCTTTGAATGCTGATGAAAACATCTTTTTCCATGCAGAGCAACACTTAATGAGAACCTTTTTCAGTTAGGCCTGCATCATAGTTCAGTTGTATGTTCAGCAGGTTTCATGGCAACAATTAAAACACAGCAGGGCTTTCATAGCCAGCACTCTCCTAGGGCAAGTTGGGCAGCCATGTCCAATCTTCAGGGAGAAAATTACATTGATCAATGAAGAATGTTTATCTCTTAATCGGCGTCTTGATGTTTTTGTTAATTTTGTTTTTTTTGTAAAAGGATTGCCATCAAGTAGGCATACTGGGGTTTTTTATTACCCAAATCCAAAGTCAGTTCTGTAAGTTGCAATTTTTAAGAAAAGAAATGTTTTGTAGTCAGCGGTTGTGAGCTTAATAAGCAATTGCTGTGATAGATGGGAATGTTGAGCAGCAAAAATTACTATTATGAACAACCAGAATGCAAAAAGGAAAACAGAAGAAAATAAAAGCAGTAGTAGTTACCAACAAGAGGCTTTTGTTTTTTCGCATACCTGCTTTATTGGATACTTTCTGTTGCCAAGGACCGGCAGCTGCAGTGATTGATGAAATTTGGTGGCTTTTAGGATGTTTCCAAACACAAATTAGATTTGTAGTATTACAGTTCTTTGTGGGAACTCATTTGGGAAATCTTGTTGAGGATTTAGAAGAACTGTAGTATTGTTGGCAGTGTGATGCATTGGAAAGACAGGCTAAGTAACATCATAGTAATTTCACTTCATACCCGGTGAAAGCAAGGCTCTGGTTGATTTTAATGGAGCATTTTATCTCTAAAATGCTCCACTCTAAGCAGAGCTGGGGTCTGACCACATTACTGGTACTTGTTAGAGTTACGTTTATCATTCCAGTAAGCTATGGCAGCATTTTGCTGATGTTGTTAAAGTAATTTATTTTGGGGATTTGAGTGTTTTGGAGGAAGCTTGTATGAGAAGATTACTTGTGACATGCAAGAAGTGTATGCAGGAAACTTACATGGTCCGGAAATGAAAATGGCTTTGAACATTAGACCTGGGACAAAGGAACTTTCTTTGTTCTTCGTTAACAGCCAGCTTTCATTTTAGTTATCTGTATCTTTTCTGATATGAATATCTTCCAGATAAAATAGAGTAATATGGTAAAACTTGTTTAAAATCCTAGGATGCACAAGAATTTTTGCGTTGTCTAATGGATTTGCTTCATGAGGAACTTAAAGAACCAGTTGTAGAACTGGAAGATGCCCAGCCTATGAGTGTTGAAGAGAGTATGGAAGAAGATAAGAGCCAGTCAGACTTAAGCTTTCAGCCCTGTGAATCCTGTGGTAACTGTGATAAAACAGAAAATGACACAATTTTCAAACCTGTCTTGGAGGATCCTGCAGAAACAACCATGTTAATTCAGGATGATGATAACAATTCAGTCACATCTAAAGACTGGCAGAAAGAAAAAATATCAAGCAACAAACTTAAACGAGCAAATTCTATGGAAGACTTGGAAAAAGACACAAACACTGCTTCAGAGACCACTGAATTTTTAAATAACCAAGGAACTGTCAAAGTACAGATACACAGCAGATTCTCAGGTAATGCGTTGCTAAAATGCAATTGAAATAGTCAAAATCTTAGCCAGAATATCTGTGGGAGTAGAAGTGAGTTGTAGAATATAGTAGAGGTATAGGTCAAATAGGGTAGGTGGTTTTACTTGTAAACCATGTCCCTACGTAGTTAAATTTTTCAGTTTAGGTCTTCTGAATTTGATTTTAATCCCTGGTCAAGCTAACTGTTTCAGTTAACCAGAAGAGTGGGTTTTTTGTTTTGTTCTTAACTTAAAAGGAATTGAAGCGGTGCTACATGCCTAAATGTCCAGTGGCCTGACAGTGTGGTTAAATAAATTACACGGCCACTGTGTCTGTTCATTCTGCAGTAATTTTTTTCACAGAATTTGTGCAACTCTGAATTGCAGAATACATCAATGACGTTCACATGAACGACGTATCTGCAGCCCAAACACCATCCTCAGTTGAAGGGATGAACACGCGCTTATCAAACAGCCCTCCAAAGTCATTCCCATCATGCTCTTCGCTGGCACAAGTCCACAAAAAAGGTAGAAGCTCTTTATTGTCTCCTTCCTGGTACTGAATTACTCTGTATTATAGTTTTTATTGTATTGTATTTCTTTTGTGTAACAATGCAAGGTTGTTCCTAAGGGGGTTTTAGCCCTGTTTCTGGTGGGGAGAAGGGAGTGTTATGTAAGCTGGACATGCAAGATTATTCCCTGTATTTCTATAATCTCCTGATTCTTTTGAAGCATGAATAGTATTTGCCTCTATTTTAGGAAGGCAAAATATTATTTTTAGACAATTTTCTCAATTGCACCAGTTTGGAGAGAAGAGAAAGGTATGAGAAGTTAGTACCCCCAAAGGTAATGCTCTCCAGAGAATAAGTTCATTGGTTCTTCAGCAGAAGTTCATTTAATCACCATTACAGTCAATTAAGGTTTAAGGAGTGATGTGTAATTGTACTGTAGATAAACCTGTAAATGCTGGTTGCTTCGTGGTTGTTAATGCCCCTGCAGTGCTGAGTATTTCTTTCGGCACTGCAGCAGGATGCATTTATGAGCATCTGGAATATTTAGACTTTTACTGCCTTTACGTATATGACAGTGCTGCTTTAGGGCACAAGGAACAATATGTAATTTTATTTTCCCTGATTTGTCTAACAGTAGCTTACTTTAAGCAAAGCTTGTCTTTCAGAGCATGTTTTTAAGGCATTGCACCAAACCCGAACCAAAAGCTAATACAACTTTTAATATTGTGATCCTGCTTCATTCAGTAGCCTGTGCAGAGAAGTCATGAACATTTGTGTTATATTTTTAATGCTTTAGCATTGGTGGTGCATGACAGTGATTTAATAGACTTAAATCATTGACCTCCTTGGTTTGTTTGTTCAGCAGCTTTGATGCTGCATCTGTGCTACTGTCTCCAGTTTTGGCTTCACCATTACAGGAGGGTTTTAGACAACCTGAAGTGAGTCTGTCAGAAGAGATGCTCGGTCACTGGTGCTTGCCCAGGAGAGATTGAGAGACCTGGGTTTTTTTTAATAAGCAGCTGTTAGGCTGGACTCCAGTTGTACCTTTAGTCTGCTTCAATCCTCTGTCATCAGTGTTGTGATATTGTAACCTTGTGATGATGCTCTTCAACCCAGCGTGGTTGAAACTTCCCAAGAAGATCTGATCAAATTAAGTGTCAAATAAAATGTTCCTTTTTATGCCTTGGAGGATTCCTGCCAAGATAAATCCATCATGTAGCAATAGGCTGTAGACTTCAAGACTGGCAGTTTGAGCTTTACTTACAGAGGCAAATGTTTCTGGTGGTTGTCCCCAGTGGCTTGAGGAACACAGATGAATTGCCTGTAATGGCAGTAATGTGATCTTGTAATTCCTAAGAAATAATTAGTAAATAGAAAACAGGGCTTGGCTCATAATTTAGCTCTGAACATGAGACTTCTAATTATATTATACAAAGCTGAAGTATAATCACAATCCACTGTACTTTGCCTTGCTGCAGCATTGTACTTTTGTCATTTTACAGTTTCGACAGTATCGTCACCAAAAAGGAAGAAGCGCAAGAAGTACAGGAGTGTTATCTCTGATATATTTGATGGGACTATAATAAGTTCAGTCCAGTGCTTGACCTGTGATCGGGTAAGAAGATCAAGTTCTGGATTTTAAGATGTTCTTTTCTTACTGCTTTATGAATACTCATTCTCTGGTGACTTTATGTTCTTTTGTGGCAGATTTCCTCAGAAGGTTGGGGTGTTTCACACTTGTTCTCTCAAATTGTAATAGTGGCTACTACCAGCACTTGGTGTTTCGAATAGCTTGTATTCATTGAGCTGAATATTTACTCAGAGCTGAAAAAAAACAATTTTGAGAATTGGTTTTCAGTGAGGATGAAGAAAGAAGCTTGCTCTTCAACTTCATTTATGTCTCATTAGTTCTTAATATTTCTCTGAATATCCTAATGCATACATGCTAACTGTCCTAAGTTCTCAGGTACCTTATGTTTCAAAGAAAAGATAAGACAGTGATCTAATATAGTGCTGTAACTGTCTTATCAGATAGATTGAGACTAACAAAATAAGGTCTTTCAAAAAATCCAAGTAAAGACATAAACTTTTGCAATGATATGAATCATTGTCTGCTTTCTGAAGTTGTCCTCAGGGTAATCTGGTGAACAAGTCCAAAAAACAAAAAAAAAAATTCTAAAATGTGTTTGATGTTTGACTCTGTGACTGTGTCACTAAATGAAGCACAGGAGCAACAAAATGCACAAATGGGTCTCCCTTGCAGTGAGTCCAGTTACATCAGGTCAATATAATGTCAGAGTAAAATACTGTGGAAACAATGGACTGAAGCTTTCTGAAACTATTTTGTGAAACACAGCCAGAGGCAAAAATCATAGTGCTTTGTATGACTGATATGAAGAAAAATAATAATGACCTAAAAAAAAAAAAGTTTCAGCAATAACAATGTGCAAGTTCATTCTAAAATGTTATTTTTTGGTTCCTCTTTTTTAGAAAATTAATTATTGTTAATGTACTTTTTCGTAATTAATTTCCTACCTAGTGGAATTTTCAGTTATGCAGTGCCTTGGTAGTTACTAGTGAACTTTACAGAATTCAGTTTAATTACCATTTCTCTTGAAGCTTAACTCCACTGTGTTTCATTTATTTTCTTCCATAGCTGTCTGTAACCCTGGAGACCTTTCAGGATCTGTCCTTGCCTATTCCAGGTAAGGAAGATCTTGCTAAACTCCATTCTGCAAGTCATCAGACGTCTCTAGTCAAGGCAGGGTCATGTGGAGAAGCATATGCCCCACAGGGATGGATAGCCTTTTTTATGGAATACTTCAAAAGGTAAATAAAATTTACCTTGTTTGATTCAATTATCAATTTTGAAATTCTAGTTTCTGCTCTTCTGGCAGAACATTTGTTGGTTTTCTTTCTTTTCTGTCAATGATGTTTCAGGTTTGTTGTCTCATGTGTTCCTAGCTGGTTTTGGGGTCCAGTTGTAACCTTACAAGATTGTCTTGCTGCCTTTTTCGCCAGAGATGAGCTCAAGGGTAAGAGGTTAATTACCTGAACATGTTTCTTCTGTGGTTTTTTTTCCTCCTGTCACAATGAGATGATTAATATCTTCTTAGTAATGCAGTTAAGCAGAGGCTACCTGTTAAGGTGTAATACAGTCAGTCCTTGTTCATTTGGGATCATTCATTTCAGAAAGGTAAGCTTCTCATTCAGCTGAGTATTTGGGATAAATGCCTATGAAAGCTGTTTTAGAAATGTCAAGTCAGTCTGAATTTGGTTTAGTGAAATTGTATCAACTGAAGGCTCATAAAAATTTCAAACCCACTGTATTAATATTCATTCTCATAACCTCAATTTGGACATAGTAAATTGTTTCCCTTTTAAATTATATAGCTTCGTCTCTTCACATTATACCGTACTGCTTCATAGTTGAAGACATAAAACCTAAGAACCTCTCCTGTAGTTGCTATGTCAACACTATTATGACTGTTAAATATTGAATACAACCTAAAGATAAATTCCCTTGAAACTTTTTTCTATCAAATGTACACACTTAAAGGATAACTGTTTGGATTTAGAGAATGATGGCTGGTTTTCTTCTCCCTGATGCTTGCAGGTGATAACATGTACAGCTGTGGAAGGTGTAAAAAGTAAGCTGGCTTTTACCTTTGTTTTACTTTGCCTTAATTTGAGGTTTTACTGTTTCTGTTAGTCAAGAGACATTTATTTCTGTTGGGTATGTCCCAATACTGTTCATCTTTTGATATGACCCTGTGTTCTGACTGTCAGAAATTCAGTATTCCCAATGAATACTTCCCAAGGAAGCACCAATTGACCCACCACATGTACTTAATTCTTTATCATGCCCTTCCAATTTAAATGTAAATTGGTTTTGTTTGACAAAATAAAAGCTCTTAGCCCTCTCTAATACTAGCAGTTTTCCCCTTGATGGGCAGTAGGTCACTGAGGTGTGTTAAATAAATAAACTCTGGCTTTAAATACTAAAGAACCAGGAAACAGAACTAGTCTGAAGACTACTTGAAGCCCTTTATGGTACAGGAGTGTTACTCCTTCTTGTATGTGCTGTAGATAATTTATTAGAAGTAAACTTACTTCATTTTTCTTGTCTTTTGCTGGATGATCAGCTTTCATGAAGCCTCAGGTTTTTTCCTCTATGTTAAGAGAAACTGTTAGCTAGTTGGGACTGGATTGTAACTTGCTGTTTTGAATTTTTCAGCAGTGCAGATTGTCTTGTCATATGAACCATCACTGTTTTTATCATTTTGGCTGCTCCATGTCTAGTCTACATTCCAGAAATATTTTGGGTTTACTAATGCAGTGTTCAGCTTAGGCTTTTGCTGATCTAGTGCAATAAAGTAAAACCTTTTCAGAATTAATTATTGGTTGTTTTGGTTTGGTTTTTCCTTTGCTTAGGTTAAGAAATGGAGTGAAATTCTGCAAAGTCCAAAAATTTCCTGAGGTACTGTTACAATATGCACTTTAAAGCACTTTTTCTGCATGATTAGGAATGTGGTAAGAGTAAAGGGGTTGCTTGCAGTAAATTGTGTTTATAATGCTGTGTGATGAAAGTCTATTTTCATATTGGCATTTGTTTAAGAATGTGAGCAATGTGGTCGTTCACTCTGAAAGAAAATGAATCTCGTACATGACAAGTACAGGAATGGGATTTCCCTATGTTATTATTGTTGATCTGCAGGCAGTAACAATATTTCTGTTCTGTGTTAGTATATATACTACTGTTTATACTGTAGGTCACAGAATTAAACACCACAGTCAGACTGGAAAGCTTTTCTATAATAACATTTGTAACTTTACATTTAGAAAGTAATCCAGTCTTGCACTTCAAAGCATGTATTATCTGTAATAATCAGGAGGAATTAGTGTCCCTCATTACAAGATTGTGCAATATGTGCATTGAGAAAGAGAAAAGGTACATTTTTCAGTGCTGTATCAATGTTAGTAGCCACAGCCGATTAAAACACAGAGCTTATGAATGTGCTTGAGGTCATAGGGAAAACTATTCTTGTGGGAATTATAAAAAGAAAAGATGGTGCACACAGTTTAGGTATTTAATATCAAATAGCATGTATAGTTATTGACTGAATCTGTCAATCCTTCTTACAGATCCTCTGCATTCATCTCAAAAGATTTAGACATGAGCTCATGTTTTCCACAAAAATTGGGACCCATGTGTCTTTTCCCTTGGAAGGCCTTGACCTTCAGCCTTTCCTTGCAAAGGACAGTCCAGCTCAAATTGTGACTTACGATCTCCTGTCTGTCATCTGCCACCATGGAACTGCCAGCAGTGAGTATGAGCTTGATTGTTTTATCTTTGCAGTTGGTACATCAGCACTTTTCTTCAAGGATGATAACTGTATACTGATGGGTAAATTGATAAACAGTGGTAATTAGAATGTGGAAGATGAATGCTGTGATTTTTACCTAGATCTGGAAGATTCAAGGCTTGCTCTGAAAGAGTTAGCACATCTTTGAAATTAAATGGTGTACCTAAATAAAATTGAAGGTGAAAAAAATTTAACAGGTCCAGGAATATTAAATAAGAAAACTATTGAACATCATAAATGTACAAATAATGTTGCCAGTAGATGACCAGTTGATCAGCTGCTCTACATAACTGTTGTTCATGTCAATGCTTTGTATGGCTTAATATTTGGAAACTTTTACAAAGCACCACAAATATACCAGTCATTTTAAAAAAATATGTTCTTTTGGATGATCACTGCCATTTAGCCCCAAAACAGGTGGTAACAGGTGTTTGTAGGTAATGATAAGTAGCTGAATAAACATCTTATTGCTATATGTTGAGGTTATTTCTGCCTAGATGATTTCAGTACTTATAAGATTTGGAAAATAGGAGAAAGAAAATGTTTAAGCCAGAAACTATATATATTTTTACAAAAGTTACCCCCTCATACTTCTCAGACTTGAAGTATCCATTGTTTAAAATTTTTTTCCTTTTTTTTTTGTTTTACTGGCTATTTTTCAACTTCCATTTAGTCCCTGCTAAATCATGCTTCACGTAATCAGTTTAGCAGATATTTGATTATTTACTTATTAGCAGTTAAATATGTGTTTAAAAATACTAATAATTTAAAATATATTCTGAATAGTCTTTGAAACTCAGTTATGGTTGTAATCTCATGTAGCTGTTCCATATCTGTGCTACTTTCAATTATAAAGCATACAAAGATTTGAAAAGAGTTTTTGTTGTGGGAAGTGACAAGGGTAAATTGTTCAGACAATCTTTCTCTGAATGTCCTGTTTCAGGAGTGTATTAAACAGCATGCTGCTTGAAGAGTGCAGGAACGTGCTGAAAGTAGTGTTCAACTCATCACTGGCTAATAGAAATTTAAAAAAAAAAGCTGATGTTGAGTTTGGTAGGAGTTAATTTCAAAGTCATATCTGCTAATGATTCTGTTTCTCCCATTTAAGACTTGGGGGGTTTTTTTATGACTTAGTTCCTTTTCATGTGTTACAGAGTAAAATGGCAGCTCTAGACACTCTTTGATAACTCTTGCTTCCTGCACCCTAGGTGGACATTATATAGCTTATTGTCGCAACAATTTAAATAACTTGTGGTATGAATTTGATGACCAGAGTGTCACAGAAGTATCAGAATCCACAGTACAAAATGCAGAAGCTTATGTTCTCTTCTACAGGTAAGAAAGACATCAAAAGTACAATCATACCTCTATGAGTATGTAAATAACTTCTAAGCCATTGGGCAGCTTTCTGAATTATAATGGAAGAATCTGACCAATGAGAAAAGCCTATGCTGGACAAAAACTTAATCCTTCAGTTATGTCCTTAAACTTGCTCTGTCAGTGCTAAAGTGTTTATGTTAAAATGAAAATGAAATCTGCGTAGTAAGAGAACTTTAAGCATCAATTAAGAGCTAGACACTTTATTTTCAATTAGAGGAAGGAAATTCTGCACACAGGGAGGTTTTGCACACATTTTTAACTGTGAGAGCTCTAACTGGCATTGTCAAAAGTTTTTATCAGATGGATGGGATGTAGGGTAACAGAGGTTTTACTATGTTGTAATTTAATCCATTGTATTATACATTTAATTTGATGCTATTTATAGGCTATTCTCTTCCTGAGAAGTTAAATGAAAGGTGAGAACTGATGTTATTATCATCTTCAGTCTAGGGAACTTTTGTGCTTGAGATAATAAAAGTAACTCAATGTTCAGAATTCAAATTTCTGGTACTAAGATCAAATTTCCATTAAAAGTTAGCTGCAAAATATATTGTGTCAGAGTTGCATAAAAAACGAGATGTGTTCTGAGACTGTTTGAACTTTCATTGGGAGCACTCCCACCTGCCACTGTTCAAGTGGAGCCTATGACTCTCACTTGGTGGGCCTTTTAAAAGGAATTTGGAAGTCGTGCTGTATTGCCAAGAAAGAATACTAAATCTTTGATTGTCAGTTAACATATTCAAATAAATAAGAAAGCAATAGCATTCATAAAATATGGGTTTAAAAAAAGAACATATCCACAAAAGACTACTACTTGCTTGGAGAAGAGAGATTTTATTCCATCAGTAAATGAGAGAGCTGAGTTACTTCCAGTTTACAATGAGAAAAGTAGGAGGATACAGGAAAAGTAGGAGAATTTCCTGACCTGCTTACTGTGTAACCCTACTTGAGAAGGTAAGGAAGGAACACCTGGCCAGGAGTGCAGCTTGCAAAGCTTTATCTCAAACACTGCAGAGAGGAACTGAGCAGATGGGCTCAGCCCTTGGGTGCTGCACCACCTCTGCAGCTCAGTTGGCTTCTGCCTTGCAGGCCAGCTGTTTGCTTTCTTAGGCTGTGCAAACTGGGAGGTACAGACAAGGCCCAGGTAATTTACTTACAGGCAGAGTTTTCTTTTCACAAAGTATGTTATCTGCACTGTACACAAGGCTCTGTATTTGTTTAATGATTTCTGTTTCTGTAATAGAAAGAGCAGTGAAGAAGCACAGAGAGAGAGACGGAGGATATCAGGGCTACTGAACATGATGGAACCAAGTCTCCTGCAGTTCTATGTTTCCAGGCAGTGGTTAAATAAATTCAAGACTTTTGCAGAGCCGGGACCAATTTCAAATAATGACTTCCTCTGTATGCATGGAGGTGAGACTGTAACTGTGAATCATCATTTCATCACAATTTGTCAACTTCTAGCTACAACAGTGGTGTATACTAGTTTTAATTAAAAGAATCTGACTATACTAAGTTCATCTTATAACTTCTTTGCTAAATTATAAATTCAAAGTAAATTCTTTCTTACTTTAGTAGTTGACTAAGTATAAATTATACTGTGTGAAGTTGTCCTATTTTTTTTTCTTTGCACATTTGATTTTGTTTATAAACTTTCTTGATTCTTAAAGAGGAACGGTCCTCTTATCTGCTTGCTTCTTAAACATATATATTCACATTTTAGAAAAAATCCTGTCACTATATCATCATCCTTAATACTTTCATCTGAAAATTGAAATTATTTTCTCAGCTTGGGGCTATAAGCAGTGAGAAGGTTTGAAAGCTGCTTTGGAAGAAATTTATCTGATGCAGAGTATCTATGGCATAGCAGTGTGAAAATCAAGTATCAATTCTGTGTATTTTGTATAGGAACATAAAAATTTCACCTTGTGCTATGTGTTAAAAAAACAAGCAAACAACAACAAAAAAACCATTGCAGTAAGCAAAACACATTTGGGGAAATACCTGTAACTGAGTGCTAACATTCCAAGAACTCATTACTATGTATTACCTGTTTTCTAATAAAAATACAATTGAAATAGATTGGAAGATGGAGGTGCTGCCCCTGTTGCTGAACCAAAATTTTAACACAGTATGATTGTGTCCCTGTAGCCATCTGCAGAGTACCTGTGAGCCCTTTGGCTTTCCCTCTGCAGGGCTGCAGCAAATGACTCTTGATGTACAAGTGCCCAAGTACTTGATTTTCTCTGTTCCAAAGAATCCCTGCATAGTCCACTGTTGTTTACCGTGTGCTTCAACTCAACACTGCTAATTCTGCAAGCCCCTCCATTTCTGCCTTCCTCAAAATTTCTCTGCTCTCAAGTATTCATGCTGTTTGAAGTAATTCCAAAAGGTCTGCAGCAAATAAGTGAATTTTAAATAGACGGTTTGTTAGTGTTTACATGCATAATCAAGATATTTAATTATGCTGACATTTTAACTGGATACCTTAAGAAGCTTTTTGAACTCATTATGTAAAATGGATTCCAGCCCTTTAATTTTAGCCATTCATGTAGTTAGTTTGCTTCTGCTTTTTATAAACTTTTCAGCCTCATAAAAGACTAAAATCAGTGGTGTCTCTAAATACAGTGATAGATTATGCCTAGGTAAAACTTATTTCATGTAATTTCTCTGAATTCATTGAAAGGTTCTACTTTTTATTTATTTAAGGACTTCTAACATAGTCTCCTCCCCTCACTAAAATCCACAAGTGGTTTTTCATTGTTTGGGGGTTTGTTTGTTTTTGTTCATTCTGCAGGTGTTCCTCCACACAAAGCTAACTTCATAGAGGACCTCGTTGTAATGCTACCTCAAAATATATGGGACAATCTGTATAGCAGGTACGTTTCCATCTGTAATTGGAAAAAATCCAGTGATACAATTTGCGAGCCAAGCAGCAACATCAGACTTTAGAATTAGTGGCTCAGGAAAAGGACAGCCCTCTGGGCACCCAGCTGAGTGAAGGGGCTGCAAACAGCTAATTTATATCATTTCCTTATGCAAAGTGAAGGACTGCATAGCGTAGTACGTTATTGGGGTAGTACTTCAATATTAAAGCAATAAACATGTATGGTATGTATGAAATAACACAAAGTAGGTCAGCAAAAGTATGCTTTGCAGAGGTTTTTGAAAGAGCTCTCTGTATCAGCTTCCTGTTCTCTTGTTGGCTGGAGACAGCTTTTCTTTTATGTTGGCTTTGAATCCATGGCCTCAGCTGCCAGTACTGCTTCAAAATAACTTATATCTGAGTGTTCTGTATTACTGCCCCACACTTTAATGTCAGTCAGGTTTGAGTGCTTGCTTACAAAGGAGGAATTCTTACAAGCTATGCCTTATTCTAAAGTAACAAAAAGCTGCAGAAGAGCTTTGCTGATGGCTTTCAACACTCTGTATTGCACTCGCATTAAATATTTTTAGCTGTTAATTTCCTGCCACCTGAACAATACATCTAAGGATTTGGGGAGGTTTTTATTGATGTTTTAAAGTTTTGGTGCACACAAGTAAAAAATAAAAACAATGGTATCTGCAGTTCATTTCTCTTTTCCTATATGTACTGGATTTTTCTTCCATTATCCATTTTCTGTGTGCAAAAATAGCCTTCTCAGGAGCAGTGCCCCTGCAGACTTCCACGGATATAATTTCACACAAGAAAAACCTGAGGGAAGGGTCAAGAGTAACCTATTAAGAACAAAACAGGATAAGTTTAGAGGCTGGGGTCAGGGAGGTAGCAAAGCTGATGAAGAGTCTGTGGTGGGATGGAGGAACATGTTTAAGACAGAACTGGCTGGAATTTTCATAGGCTGTTTCTTAAAGGCCTTTGGTAAAATCACACCTGGTGTATATAGAGCAATACTTGCTCACTGACGTGTTCTCACCATAGCAACTCCTCCTTCTGAAGTCTGTGATGCAGCTGAGTTTGAGGTGGTTGGTTTGTACTGGCATGAGGCAGTGAGAACTTGCAAGATGGTCTTAGGATGGAGAGCAGAATATTACTAAGAAAATAAACTGTGGCTTTTTGGGATCACTGTGACTGGCATGTGTCACCCTTCTGTTCATACTGATCTTTTTTACATGATGTTTTCCACAAGGCTGATTGTTTGGGGTTTTTTATTTTTACTGCAGATATGGAGGAGGACCAGCTGTTAACCATCTGTATGTTTGTCACACCTGCCAAATAGAGTCTGAAAGAATTGAAAAAAGAAGGAAAAATGAATTGGAAATGTTTATACGGGTAAAAAAAGTAAACACTTATCTGTTCTGCTACTGGCCAACACCTGACATTCATGACTAGACCCAAGGGATTACTGGAATTGCACAAGGGATTCCTGTAACAAATGGACTTTATTAAATATCTCCATACCTATATACCACCCTATCTCTCCTAATGGCAGCAGTAATGTTGTTGTGGAATCCCAGATAACTGCTTATGTGAGAATGTACTTAGAGGAAATTTTTAATGTGTTTCTTAAATTGCTTTTTTATAGTATGGAAACAGCCATGTTACCAGTTGTTCTTTATGTACTGCCAGTGGTCTGTTCTGTGCAGTCTGATAAGATTTAAGTGCAATAATACTGTGCCAAGAAAAAATTCATGATAATCATTAGTTCTAATTTTGAAGAAAAGGCATTAGAAACATTAACACAAGTAAGTAATTCAGTATGAAGTAAATATGTTAGCATTGTAATGGATCTGTAAAATTAATATCAAGGAGCTACTGTGTTTTCCCTGGTTAGAGGATTATGTGCTTGAGTCTGAATGGTGAAGTTACTAGAGGTAATGATTTTGATGTTCTTAAACCAAAAATGTATTTTGAAGTTTTCAGTGAAATTAAGTGCAGAGACATGGGAGTTCCATTTCTCTATCTCAACTCATGAAAGGAAGAAAAGTAGAACTGACTCTGTTTTTTCAGTTCTGTTAGTCCTTTAGTCACACTTCAGAGATCGTCAGCTTTTTCATGTTTTTCTAAAATTTTTAGGAATTTTCATTACTCTGGATTACCATGGGATAGAAATTATTATTAATGACATTGAGTCCCATTTGCTTTAGCAGTCAGTATCTTCCCTGTAAAAGCAGTGATTATATGTGCACTGTTGTGCAAGTATTGTTACTAGTTAGTACACAGAAAATTCTTTTGTTCTCTATAAAGATGGCTTTAGGGAATGATTACAACATTTAGTTTATATGAAACCTTAAGAAGTTGTGTTGATGCTTTAGGTTTATGACTACTTCAAAGGGGAAGTGTAGCTGTGTTATTACAGAGCTAGAAAGATAATGGTTTAAAGGTTTAAGTGACTTCATACTTGTTTCTTCATAACATTGTAAAAAGATTCCTAAGTCATGAAGAGTCCCAATGTTCAGTGTGCCTTGCTTGGAATTGTACTGCCATCTGCTCAAAATACTTGAGGGAAAACAAACACAGATGAAGATACAGTTCACACCAAAAACTTTCCATAAAATTATGGAAAAAAATTTTCAAAACACTATTTTATTTTACAAAAATAAGATCTCTCCTTCTTTTGCTACTTGAAAGTTCAGCCTTCACAGTAATTATCTATTAGTGTTTGATGAGTAAGCACTTGTGCTTAAGAAGTACTTGTTGCTGTTTTGAGGAAATAAAAGTAATTTCTCAACTAAATAGTAAATCAGCTTTTAATATGAAGGCTACCACGCCATCAGAATCTCATCTTGGGTGTTCACCAAGTGTTTACTGGTTTTATGGTCAGTGATTTTTTTAAAATGTTCTGTTACAGTGTAATGGTATGGTACATTTCAAAGAATTCAGTATTTTAAAGAAATGAAATGGCAAAAAAACACAGATTTTTTTTCCTTGTAGCTTAATAGAGCATTCCAAGAAGAAGAATCTCCATCAACATTTTACTGCATCAGCATGCACTGGTTCAGAGAATGGGAAGGCTTTGTAAAGGGGAAAGACAGTGGTAAGTTGTGCCCCATTTCAAAATAGGTAATCTTTTGTTGTATTGTTGTTTGTTTCTGCTTTGGTAGGAAACTGTAGGAAGGACAGATAGCAAAGGCAATGAAAGCTCTTAAACATCTAAGACACAAGTTTTACAGGTTACAAATACATCCAGGTTACAGAACATAGTAAAATGATTCACGGCATTGGGATAATGGGATAGTGGTGGAAAGAATGTTGCTTGTTTGCAGGATGTTTGCTGTTAGTGACAACAGGAAAATTGGATCTAAGTACAAGGGGGGATGGATTTTGTTATGGAAACTGATAGATGATGCTGCAGCTTCTGGAGAAAAGGTGACCTTATCACATCTCAGGTAGCTCAGTAACAACTGTACTAATGTCAGTTTAGCCGACTTCAGATGCCTCTAAATTTTTAAAATGGAAACTGATAAAATGTTCTACAATATTGTCAGAGTCTGCTCTAGGACAGCTTTGGTAAGGGTAAGAATTAGGATTAATTTGTGTTTCATGTTGCTTGAAGACTTAACTGTAATCAGGAATGCTTTGGAAAACTTGCTCTTAATTAAAATGTGATTAGCTTTTAACAACTTAGAATGTACTGTTAAGCAGTACAAGAACAAGCAGTAAACAAATGATCTGTTTTTCCTTTCCTTTGGAAACAGAACCTCCAACCTGCTGTTTGTTTTCAGCTCTCCCAATTTTAATAATTTTTCTGTTGCACTAGATCCTCCTGGCCCCATTGATAATGCTAAGATTGCAGTAACAAAATGTGGCAATGCTGTGCTAAAACAAGGTAGGTGTCCAGTATTGCTGCAGATTTATGCATTTGCTGGAAGTTTGGAAATTTTATGATTTAAAAAAAAATATTTATTGTTATCATAAAATGAATGGCAGTTTCTAATTAATCTATGTGGTGCCTATTTTTGGGTAAACATTCTTAAAATGAAAAATTACTGTATGTAATAGACTAATCCAAGTGCAGTTGAGAGTGTAGGAGGTGCAGAGTTAACTTGAAAATGGTGAAAGTGTGCTTTGGCTTTGTATCACTTGGTTTGATGGGGGTTTTCTTAACAAAATTGGGAGACTGTTCTATATCTGCGTGTAGTTATTTGAATCTTGAAACCTAATTTGAATAGAAAAACATCTCACAGAGAGAGAACCACTGTACATAAAATCTGTTGCTCATTTTTCTGCAAGTCATTTGATACTGTACATTGCACGTTAGAGAAATTTTTGCAAAGATACAGATTTCTTCATTATTCTTCAGAGTTAAATGCTAGATACCATTTATTTGGAATTCATAGATACAGAGGAAAACATTCTTATATGACCTGCTTTAGGAAGTCTTTAGACTTTTTTCTAGGAAGCTTTCAATTCATTGCAGCTCAGCCTAAAAGAAGAACCTGCATCAATAAGATTAACATTTATTTAACTGGATTTTTCCCAATTTTGCTTAATGCCTCAGCATACACTGGATGTACCAATAAATCTACCATAAACTTCACCAATTGTAGAATGCTAAGAGTTTATGTTAAAAATAATGAGTTTTGGCACTCATGAGTTTCTCAGTGCATTTTAATGATTTAATTAATTGAATGGATTTGAAATTTAATTAAAATTGAAGCAAATTAGCCAGTTGTTGGTTTACTTTCAGCTACATTGCTACAAATTAGAGCTTGGGTAGAAATAAAGATGAATAGGATCTGGAAAATTTTTCTCTTAAGTTGTAAGAGATGGGAATGGCCCTAAATAGGGTCCAGTGCTACACATTTTTGTGATCCAGTGCCTGAGTTCACTGTGCCTGTTCAGTTTAACCTGACTGGCTGCAATCTGGATGTGAGAGTCAAGATCTACTCCTGTGCCTGAAGAGATGGAGTTGATTCTTAAGAGCCTAAAGGTAAAAGAGGAGAAGTGAGGCATAACATCATTAGTACTGGCATGGGAGCTGCATGATGACTTCCAGAGGAAGCTTTGCATCGTTGAGTTAGCATAGTTAAGCAAACGTGCAGCTCTTTGTACCCTTCCCCTTTAGAAACTCTAAACAGATAAAGTACAACAGTAGGCACCACTGCAGCAGGTGGTGAGGACAGAGAAGTACAGAAGGTAGGAGAAGTTTATAGTGCTGACTTCCTTTCTTTGAAGTATGAGGGTGCTGTAACAAGGCTTAACAAGACAAATTAATAATGTCTAGTAAGGCTATCAGGGGAAATTTGCTGTCAAGCAGGGTTTTGGTTTGCTAAAAGAAGAGGAGGCTTATTCTGGTAGAACAGAAATGTGACCTCTCTGTAGGTTAATGTGAGGAAATCACTCAGTATCAGACAGATCCTTGTATTGAAACCTAGAGGGGAGATGTGCTAATGCATCTTGTTTTTGACACTGTAAAAGTTGTGGACAACCAGAAATGCTTGTTGGATGCTGACTTGAGACAGGAGACAGACCTCTAGCCAGAGTAATGGAATCCATAAGCAAAGACTTTAATCAGTGAACGAAATCAGGCTGACCCATCAGTGCTACAGGAGCATTGCTGGAGCTGTTTTCCTAGTAAAATAAGGACTATTATCCTAGTAATAGTCCTTTGTCTCTGGGAATTTCACTGTGCTTCTCATACTTTTATTCTTTACTGTCAATATTAATTTCTCTGATAAAGCAAGAATCTTGAGTCCTTGAACTTTACTGTGTAATTGATGTGACTGCATGTCCTTATAATAATATGAATCATTGTTCCCTGAGTACCAAGATTTACTGGCTGTCAGCTTGATTGGTAGATGTTAGATAAGATGTTTATCATAGAATTTTCATGTGTTTTCTGCAATTACTGCATAATTTAGAGCAGGTCGTTGTAAGAATCAAGAAGTATGAAACTAACACAAAATAGGTAAATGTGTTTGGCAGCTGGTGCAAGATAAAGCAAAAATAAAGGTTACGGTGTTAAATTTGGATCAGAATTCTTCCAGTTTTAAATATTAATCTGGATTTTTTCTTTTTCCTTTTTGTATCTGTTTTGGACTTAAATCATTAAAGAATTATTCTAAATAGTAATTAAATCTTAAATTTTTTTCAGGTGCAGATTCTGGACAAATATCAGAAGAAACATGGAATTTTCTTCAGTCAATCTATGGTGGAGGTCCAGAGATTATACTCAGACCACCTGTTCCTCCAGTAGAACCTGATCTATTGCAAACAGAAGAGAAGATTGAATTAGAAACTCATGGTCTGTAGCTATTGAGAAAAAGATGAACTTGTAAGGAATCCAGCTTCCTTACAAAATGCCCAAAACACATTCCTAAAAGTTTTATTCTCTTATGTCTGTTGGAGGCACAGCTCACTGGGCATTACATTAACTACAGAATAGTAAGTTGAAATATGTATTGCAATTTGTTTAAATAGCAACTGTTTCTCTGTTTTGGAAGGCATGTGGTTTGTACATTTTGGAATGTTTGGTCCATGGGAAAAATGTAATTTCTGAATTTTTTGCTAAAACTCAAAATCCTATTATATCCTTAGACTTGAAAAACAGGGACAAATTTTAGAGATGTTCAGTAACCCTCCTGGTTCCTGATTGGGCTTCTGATATCTACGAACTTTTGCCTGTCTTAATTGTACAGTCTTGACAAGCGTAGGTATGTGAGGAGTATATTTTAAATGGACTGTAATCAAAGATAAAGGATTTTCATTTCCTAAATGCTCAGGAAAAAATTGTCTCTTACTTTGCACTGTAAGTATATGAAATGGGTATTATATAACATCCAAATACTTATTGTATTTGAGTGGCTCAGATGTTAGGGTAGACTGAATAATGGTTTAGTCAGCAAATGTCATAACTTATTACTACTAAATTTTACATCTTATTATAGTCTTCTGTAACTCTATATACCTGGCTAGTGTCTTTAATAGTATATGTGGCAAAAAGATTTAGTCTTCTCTAGGGTAACATTTGAGAGCATGAAGTGTGAAATGTAAAATTACTATGGACATGAGTGATATAAATTTCAGAAAATTAAATTGTCTGGTCTCTTGAATTGCATTAGTAAGCATTTATATTGGAAGGATTTTATTGTATTGTTTAAAAATTTCATTGGCATGATGACCTTTAATGTCAGAAGCTGGATAAAATGTATATATTGCAAAACTTTATTGAATGATTCATATTGGAATGCAGAATGACACTTGCTCATGTTTTTGCCTGATATTGTTACCAAATAAGCAGCATTATTCAAGACTGGATCAATAAAAAAAAAAAAACCAAACAAAATTAACTGTGGAATAGGTGGGGGGCGCTTTTGTAGATGCTTTTCATTTATTTTATATATACAAAAACTTTTGAAGTAATGCTGTGGTACTGCTCTCACACCCATACAATTATATTTTTTGACCATTTTAACTTTAGACAATGATGTTGACAGTTCTAGTTCCAAAGTAAGAATGCTGACATAACATTCCTCTGAATAATTTTATATGTAGTTTAAAAAAATTTTGGTTTGTAGGACTTCATGCTATTCTGGTTAAAAAGCCATCTATAACAGCCCTAGAGAAAATGTCCTCTAACAGTAAGTATTTGCAAATGTGATTTTATGTTAGTAGATAAAGCAACTTGAAGCTAATACCACGTTACCACTGTAATGCATCAAGTGCTTACTGCTGATTTGTATTAATGATTAAGGTAAAGTTAACTTGCTTATGGACAGTCATTAGTAACTTGCTGATGTTGGCCTGTGAGCTGCTGTCTGGTTTCAAGTCAATTTAAAGTTTTTTGGTGGTTTTTTTTTTGTTTTGTTTTGGTTTGTTTTTTGTTTGTTTGTGGGGTTTTTTTGGGTTTTTTTAATTTTTTTTTTTGTTTTTGCTTTTGCTAAAGTTTTTGTAGCTTTCTTTGATTTAAGGTTCTTTAACATACTAAAGATAAAGAACAATGAATAGAAGAATTTTCCCTGCACAACGTTCTAAATTGGAAACTTAGGAACTATTTCCTTGGTTAAAGCACAATACAGTGATCAATTTACAAATTTATTCAGTGTTTTCATTAATAGTTTGGATGGTAGAACAGACTGGCCCTGTAAAATTTGTAAGGAAAAAACGGATTGAGTGTGAGGGGCATCAGCTTGTCATCCCATGTCAGGGAATGAAGCAGTTCTGTGCTGAGTATTCTGAGTATTACAGCAGATCAGAGTAAGACTTAAGACTCAGTGATACCAAAACAAAACCTGTTCTGGGTAATAGTAACAAAAGCATCAGATGTGAGGCACAGGAGGTAATTATTCTGCTCTACTTGGTGCTGTGCTTGTTGTGAGAACTCATCTGTACTGTTCCCAATTTTGAATGCTATGTGATGATAAATACAAGTTGAGATTATTTAAGGGAAAAGCAACAAGACTCAGTGTTGAAAAATAAGTAGCTTTCTCCCTTAAAATAATGCTGAAAATGCAAGACTTCCAGTGTGTAAATAATTGATGAATAATGCTGAACAATTTTTTTCTGAGATAAGCAAAGATACTTGCTTCAGCTTTAGCAGTGGGGACGTGTGCTGAGTTTAGGAAGCTTACTTCAGAAATCTAGAAGTCTTCTAGTCAGTGTCTAGGAATCCATAGTCAGATATAATCTGTGATGCATACAGATCAGTAAGGAGACACTTTACACCAGCAGAGTTTGTGAAATGCCTTTGTCACTGTGGAAAAAGGCATCTTCACACTGGGACTCTGTCATACTTAGAAAAAACCAAACCCCTGGGTTTGCAGAGATAAATAGATGTGTTTTAAGACCGTTCCAAAGGGATGACTGTCTTGCTTTCAGCCCTTTGAGAGCTCTACAAGGGATATTATGTCACAGAAATTGAAGTAGTCTTTTAAAGGAAGGCAGTGTGGGAGAACTCCAGATGGATGGCTTGTGTATGCTGGAGGGAAGGCAATAATTCAGAGAATAGGTAAAGGAGAGGCCTTTACTGGGAAAAGCTGTCATGATTCGTAGCAAAGAAAGAATGCATCTCAGGAAGGGCCTGTGGAAATTATTTTTTTCCATAAGTCTTTCACCAGACTATTTGGATTCTTTGTTCATTTGTTTTCAGTTGAGGAAACACAGCAATGTGTTTGTGTGCCAGAGAAACTGTCACTTCAAGAAGGGAAAAATCCAGTGGACTCCTTGTTGTAGGCCTGGAAATCTAGATATGAGCTGTTAAAAGCCCGCAGTTCAGTCTGGTAACTTGGATCCTCCCTTCTGGGGAAAAACTGTATGGTGGTTGTCAGGGACTTAGCAGCTCAAAGTTTGATTTCTCTAAATTTCTGAAGGTTTTTTGCAAGCAGTATAACTAATTGTTCATCTAAACACCTAACTTCGAGGAGACTGCTTCAGATACTGTGTAATGTAGCTGAACAGTAGAATTGGAGGGAAAGAGAATAGTAGAAGAGCTACTGAATTACTCAGTAGTAAAATAAGGCAGTTTTCTAATGTATTTCAAAGGTGAGAGCTAAATAGGCTGGTTGCTGAATGATTTAAACTGAGGAGTCCAGAAAGGTGTTTCTGCAGGTATCATCCAAGTTGGTTCTCTGTATAGGGGTACAGATATATACTTATGTATATTAATATATTTATACATGCATATTTATATATACACACATGTATTCTATATATGTATATAAAAATGCACATAATCTACTTCTCCAGTATCTTAATTGAACTATGGCTAGAGTCACTACAATAATTATTTTGGTGTTTATGCTGGAATAGTGACCTTGAGTAGCTACATTTGATAAAGGTTGTTTGGTTGACACTCAGTTTACTGCTGTGGTGGGTGTCAGCCTTCCTACCAGTAATGGCTTGTTTCAAGACAAGATAAAAAAAGCATAAAGTGTTAAGAGATGTGTTTGGCTGTGGATTATAATGTGGATGAAGTGGTTTTCATTTGTGAAGCAAAAGTTCAATAAGCCCACAGTTCAATAGTCCTGAATTTTTCTTATGAAATCTAATGTAATTTGATCTGCTATGCTAATGCATTATTTACGAATTCTCCTTCTCAGATTCAAAACTTACATAGTGACTTGGTTTTTCCATCACTATATATCCTACTTCTCCTAAAAGCAGAAGGCATTCATTTGTAATGATACTGCTAACATTTGACTGGGGTTTTTTTTAGTATCCTATTACTTATAAGTTCATTTGGAAAAGCAAGCCTGGGATTAGTAAATTTTACTGAAAAACATAGATATCATCTGTTTAAAAGGGACCAAGGGCTTTCTTCGTATTTGCCATACAACTATTTTATACTGAACTAAGAAAATTCTATTTCATTTATTCCTTTTGAATTCCCTATATACATCTGGCTTAGTGCAGTCTAAGCAGTTTTCTCACTGAAAACCTTTCAGTCTTCATTTTGCCCAGGAAATGAGTAAAACAACTAGGCTTTCTCATTCTTCCTAGCAGATGGCTTTTCTGGCTTCCCTCTATACTTAAGCCATCCAGAACTGACAGTTAATAGCAGGAAGCAAAATAAGACTTCTGGGTTTCTGAAGTGTCACAGAGAAAGACAAATCACTTTTAGTGTTAATTCAGAGAAATTAATCCATTTACAAACAAACCTGGTTTATATTAGCCTTCAGAATCTTAGGAGATTAGACAATAGACTTGTTCAGTAAAATTTTAGAAGTGCTATTCTCACTAACAATGAAAAGCATAAACTGTTTTCTTGAATGTGTTCTATTATATATATATATTACATATATATCTATTTAAAACATATGACTTGTTTTAGGTTAAGCTTCAGGCTAGCTTTAAGCCATTCAACAAGGTGACAAGTCTGCTTCTCCATAGAAACCAGTGAACACTGCCACAGCAAGATAAAATATGCTTATGGATCTAATGTTACACGTTTGCTTACAATAGCAGAGTCTTGGTTTTCACAGAAAGCTGGAATTATTTATTCTGAGTCAAACCTTTTCTCTCTTCTGTGTGTCAGCTCAGACATGCAGCTTGAAAAAGAAGGTCCATTTGTGAGAAACACATCACTGAATTGTCCAGTAGGTTTTCTGCACCTGGACTGGTAGTGGTACAACATGCAAAGTCACTTGATGGCAAGTTTCCACTTAGGTTGCAAATGGGTGTATGTGTGGGCTTTAAAAAATGCAGTAAGAACTTGATCACTGAAATAGGATGTTTATAAGATGAATAAGCAAGTAAATTCATTCTCTGTTATGACTTGTTCAAGATTGAGTTGATTAGCTAAAACTTTCCGTTCTGATTGTTGAATGGACATGTAAAAATACAGCTGACGCTTGACTGGCTGATTTATGTACAAGTATAAAATGAAGCTTCAGTAAAAAAGTACAGCTGGCATAATAGGAGTACACTGGTTTGTTGTGCAGTTTTGATATGCCTTTATGCAATGCTAGTGAATCTTAAAGCACTTTTCTTCCTAGTCATTGGGAGCATGGGAGGTACAAAAGTAAAGCAGTCATCATCCACAAAATATTTTCATAACACAAATCAAATTGAGAAGATTTCATTTCCAGATATGTTCCTCCTTCCTCACTTGGAACTTACAAACAATTTATTATACATAAAAAATTTTAGTAAGATCTGTTTTTGGAATAACTTAGCACATGAGAAAATAAATCTAAAAGTACTTTGTTGAGAAGAATGAAGAGGGCAGAAGAGAGGAGGTATTTGATTCATAGGCGTAGGAAAAAAGCTTAGAATAAATTGTCAGCTGCCAAAAATGAAGAATAGCAATTTTTGTTCCATATCTCACAGGACACTGCCAAGAGCTTTTCATGTTGATTGTTCATGAATAGTTTTGCTCAGAAATGAATATTTTTCTAGGTGACTAATTTTTTTCTGTCTGGTGTGTTTAATGTTGAACATGCTAAACATGTTAAACATTATAAAACAAGATGTCCTGGTTACCATGGGGATACACTGCTTTTTTTTTTCCCCCCACCTCCCCTGGGTGTCTGTTAAAATGCCAAACCCAAATGAACATGCAGCACTTGCTCACACTGTGAATGCATGTTTGTTTCCACCACTGCACACAGTGTTTCTTTAGCACCAGAAGTAAGGTTACTCTGAGATTTTCAGTCATAACAAAAGAAATGCACTCATGCATGCCAAAGTGCTAATGAACTGGCAGCTATTAATTCACATAGTATTTTCAATTAAGTGTTTCATGTAGTACCAAGGTTTACAATTTAACTGTGGAAGCAAGAAATAAAACATGTATTAGCTATGAACTCTGAGTGCCCTGTCTTCTGAATAATTTTTAGTAAGGGAAATCTGCTCTCTTTTGCCTCGTTTGCTTGTGGTATAATTAATTTGCTGTCCAGCCAAGCAGGGTAGTGGAGATAATCTGTCTTTTGAACTTGATAAGTAGGATGTGACCTTACCTTTGCACACTCAAGTGCAGAGACTGGTGTTTGTAAGCTCTCTCTGTAGATGTTGGAAAAGATTCCGGTAAAAGAGGCAGCCTCTATGCTTCTGCTCTGCTTTTAAGTTAAATCTGAAAAGGGTCTGCTATCATTCTGGATTTGAGCCCTGAACAGGAATCTCTTCTTAAACTGTCAGTGGTGCTGATGTTCACTCCTATGTGATGGCAATTTGTTTGGAATTTCATTTAAATCTTTCACATCCTGTATGAGAGGGCCTAATTCACAAGCTTGTCACTGAAAAGCTTTTCTGTTTGGAGAAACTGTGCCTGCAGGCTAGGCAGAAGTGTGCCAGGTCTATTTATTTATTTCATTTAGACACCTCTATCTTACTTGAAAACTGCTAATTTATGTTTTTCTGACCTTGAACATTCTACATACTGTTCAGTCTTGAGTAACAATAGAGCCCTTTATTGTGTTCTAAGATCTGATGGAATATTAAGGCAGTCAAAACAGTAACAGACATATTCTGTGACCTGATGGACCTTCATGTAGGTTATGCATAATTCAAAATATTAATGCAGAGCCACTACTACCTGAGAGTGCTCTAAACATGTAACAAAGGGATGTTTCTGAAGGAGAGAGAAAAGATAAAAGGAATTGTTTGGACAGGAGTTGATAACATCTGTAAGGACTAAAAGTCCCTGACAAAGATGACTCACTCAAAGTCTGGATGCTCCAGGAAGGTAAATGGAGGTGATGTGGGCTTCAGGGTTTTAGTAGCCTTAGGCAAAACCTCTGTGCCCATATGGGTCCAGCTCACCCTCTCATCCTGTTTGGTCAAAACTTCCCTGATTCACATAGGTGAAATGTACCAGAACCTGGAAGTCTCTGGATTGTTGTGTTCTTGAAGCCTGAGTCAAATTTCATACACTAGAATAATAACACACTCGAAGAAACTGCAGTAAAGCGAATTTTAAAAAATACAGTTGGTTAAATAGGTAGCAATATTTCTATTTTGAAATATAAAACCCCACTCTTGAGTAGTAAAAACTAAGAAGAATAATACATTCTGAAAAACCAAGATCTTCCTTTTGGTGTGCAGCTTTTATGTTTAATTGGTTCCAATCTAGACTGTCTTTTTTAATAATGCACTACAATCTAGCTATCATTTCATATCGACCTGACATTGAAGCCTCTACTGAAATTAGAAAAAGCCATTTAAATGGGAATACCTCATATGTGAGGAGTATTTATGCATGGTACTCAATATAGTCTAATTAATTCAATTAATAAAAACAGGTATCAGATTACTTCATTGCAGCTTCTTAGGCCAATTTGAATTAGATTGTCCTTACTTTAAATATACAGACAGAAAATGTAAATAATAACTTCCAAAATTAATTTGACTTTTGTGATTGGTAACTTGCTTTTCCAACATGGAATATGACTAATTTCAGTAACTAAAATCGAATCTGAAATTTTATTTCCCCCTACTTTGTTCCTACCAAAGGGGGAAAAAAAAAAAAAGGTATAAAACCCAGGCATTCCACACCTAAATGCATCAGTAGAGTATGTCTTCAGGCAGAATAGTTCTTAAAGGTTAGATGCAAAACAGAATTGTTTCTCTAAAGGATTTTGCTTCAGGTAAAACCAGTGGAAACATTTCACTGAGGGCAATCTAGCCTCTCTTATATTTATTCTTTATATATGGTAGCTTTAATGGGAAAAAACCAATCAGAATGTGGAGGTCTCCAGGGAATAGAGCAGGCAGAACTGAGCAAAACAGAGGACCTATAACAATACATGACATGATTGTGTAAGGATGTGTCATGTCTTGAATTAACTCTGTTAAAATCTTTTGTTTCCTTTTGTCTCAACAAAAACTATCCTTCTATAACTTTATCTTTTGTAACTATCTACAAGAATGCAAATACTTTTTCTTCTCGTTCTCCAAAGTCCTGCCCATAAAGTACCTACAGACAAAATTACTGAGGTGATAAAGTAATTGATGCAGAGGTATCTAACTGTTGTGCTGAGCCAGCTCTCATCCAGTCCAGGATGCTTTATTAGGTTTGGGCCATGGAAGTTGACCCAACAGAACCTAATCTGGCTTTAGGAAAATTCTCACTGCCCAAGCCTTGAGTCAGATGAAATAAGCCTCTGGAGCTAACTGAGCATAATCTCCCTTGTCCTGCATGGCCTCTTGAAGGGCCAGTGGAGATCCAGAGCCGTAGCCAAGGATATAAGCCCCATTTAACCAGAGCTGGGGCAGGAACCAGTAATAGCTTGTTAATGCTCTTTGGAGGGCATGGTGGAAAGAGAGCAGAGCAGCTGTCAGAACTAACCTAGATGTCCTTAGGCTCAGCTTCTCAGTTGTGCTGAGTTCCAACGAGTGAGTTTGATTAATCTTTTGTCAAGAAAAAAAATCACATATTATTTGCTGTATAGGAGAAGCAATTAAGCAATTTCATGGATTGAGATGGGTGGGAACAGTGTTGTTGCTGAAAGCAGGAGCTGTGTCACAGCTTCATCAAAGCTGGAACTTGTAATGTTGGCAGTTCTCCATGCACAAACGTGAGCTGAGGCATCTCACAAACATGGAGGGATATAAAGTTTCTGCTCTTGTAGAAAATGCTGCTTTGAGAGGAGTCTGATCTAATTTTTAGCTTGTCCCATTCTAACTTGCTGAAAAGTTGTCATTAACACCATTATCCCCTGATCAGAATAGGGGGTGGTTTTGTTGTGGCTTGGGTTTTGTGGTTTGGGGTTTTTTTCCCCCACTACCAACATCGATGAAGCCTGAAAATTTGTTACTGCCTTATAAATGATTTATATGTAAGGCTGCCCATAATAAATACAGCTACCAGTTACTGGTAAAAGATAGATGTTGTGGCACAGAGGAAGCTGCAGCTACAAGAACTAGAGATGTGACATAGTTTGGGCAGAGTATATGAGGAACAAGGGACACCAACTGGAAGTGAAAATGTGTTGGAGAAAAAAACCTGGTGCTGCTAGGCAGGAGTATATTCCTTTCCACTTAGGAATTATTTCAAAGCTGCTATAGGATGCGGTAGGGAAGAGGCTGCAGGATAGCACGAGTGGGTGAAAAAGATTTTGAGCTGTGGGGACATCCCAGTAGATGTAGAGCCTCAGGCAGCTTCAAACAAAGCAGGTTTCTCCAGGTTTTAATGTAAATTCTTTTGGGTGGAGGTGTTAGTGAATCTGATCTCAGGCATTACTACACATGGGCTGCTTTCTCTTCTTTGCATGTTGTTAATTTTCCTCTGGAAGGTTAATAGAGCCAAACTATACAGTAGGTACACAATGGCTGGATTAAATCCAGGGAAAAGCAGGGGGCGTGCAGAGGTGGGGCAAGAGCCTCAGGATAATCCCTTTCGTTAGCAGGAACCACGACCTCAAACATCGCACCATTAACAGGTTAACAGGTCTTTGTTAACCTTCCATCACTCTGCATCACTGCTTCTTAGGCAAGATGGCAGAACCTAATATTTAAGTGTGAATTGAAGGCAAATCCTTCACCCTGTGTAGGGTGTGGTTACAATACAGTCGGACTGGTTTAATCCTATTGCCAAAAAGTTACTGCTGCCAAAGGAGGATTGCCTGGTTCCTTGCCTCTACTGGCAGCACTCCTTCCCCCATCTCATGTGCTGGCTCTCATCAGCCCCATGGTGAGCCAGTGCAGTTTAATTTCTAGATGAAAACGAACCCACCAGAAACAGGAACAGCTTCTTGGTGGTTTAGGAAATCCAGCTGGTTTACCGTGTGTGAAGATGAGCAGCAGAGTGGGCAGGAGGAAAGACTGTGGGGCAGGGATGGGGGAAGTGCTGCCTCCCGTGTCAGCAGCCCCTGGAGTCGGTCAGCTCTGTTGCTCAACTGCCTCTTTGCAGAGCCATGGGAATCTGTAAAAAAACCCACCGTCAAAACACCCAATCGATTTTGCTCAGAAGCAGCTGAGCAGAGCCCTCAGTTCTCCTGTGAAAGCACTAAGGCTTGTCTGCAGTGCAATAATATCCTCAGCCATTGCAGCTGTTCAGCTAAGCGAGCATATTTCTAAATGGATTGCAAGGCAGAGCGCTTTAGTGCACGCAGGTGCTCCTGCAGCAGTGAGAACACCGCTCACACAACAGGGCTGCAGGAGAGAGTGGCGCAGAATTGAGAGAAGATTTCCCTCTCTCTCTCTTGTGGGATTTCTGTTGGTTTGAATTTGATCACAGAAGACTTCCAAGTCAGCAATGTAGGGAAAAGTGAGAACTGCTTAGGAGGGTGGAAAAGCTGCTGAGGTTTTTCTGCAGACTCTGCAGAAGGAATGTCTGTATGACTAGACTTGCAATTTGGGTAATTAGGATTTTATTAAATGTATTTTATTTACAAAAGTATCTATGACTTGAATACAGCCACTAGCTACTTTTAAAAGCAACTGAAAATATTCTTCAATACTTAACTCTGTTACAGGCAACTGTTTTACCTAAGGATTTTCCAGCAACCTAGAAATGTTAATTAAGGGAAAGGTTTTTTAAATGTCATTAGCATTTAACAGAAAATGTGAGTCTCTGTTTCTTGTCTACACAAAACTCTTCCAAATGCATTTTAACTGTGATGTTTCAGGAAAAAGGCCATGAGAAGTTCAAGAATAGTCAGAGACAGACAGTAATTTTGTTGTCTCTGTAGGAGTACAGGTAAATGATGTATTAGAGCAGGCTGTAGGCGGTAGGTAGTAGTAATTCTTGGTGATCACACACCGGTGAGCTGAGAACCAAGCAGTACCACAGGAAAAAATTTGAAAGCTCAATAGATTAATTTTTAGTCATAATCCAGAGGGCTGGAGTACCCTACGGAGCCTGTTCTCGCGGCACAGCTTGAGCTCAGTCGGGAGACAGCGCTGGAAATTCTCAGGAGCTGCGAACCGAGCAGCCCCGCTGTGGGGGCACGAGGCTGGCAGTGGGGGCAGGAGCACCTCCGGCCAGCAGAGCGCTGCCCCCGAGCCGCGCTCCCCGTCCCCTTCCCGGCACGCAGCCCTGGAGCGTGCCCGCGCTGCCGGCGGCTGGGCCGGGGCGCCCAGAGCCGCCCGCCCTCCCGCTGCGGCCGCCTGCGCGGGCGGAGCTGTCCCGTCCCTCAGGCGCCCGGGCAGACAGACAGACGGACACCTGCCCGGTCGCGCCGCGCTCCGCCGGCAGGGGGAGCTGCAGGGAGCGGGTCCCGCCGCAGCGCGGGGGGGAGGGGAAGGAAGCGGAAGGAGCCGCCGCCGCGCTGAGGGGAGCAGGCGCTGTGCGGAGCCGCCGCCTGGTGCGGGCGGCACGGAGGGAGCGAGCGGCGCGCGGGGCTGCGCGGCCCGGCCGCGCCGAGGAGCGGGCGCCAGGTGAGGGCCCGGCCCGGCCCCGGGGGAAGGAACGGGGGGGGCCCCGGGCGGCGGCGAGTTCGGAACCCGCGCGGGGAGGGGGAAGAAGGAGGAGGGAGCGAGCGGGGGAAGCCCCCACGTGACCAGCGCGTGCGGGGAGGAGGTGGCGGCTCGCGCGCCCCGTTCGAATCAGCTGGCCCGCCGTGGCGCCTCCTGCGCGTGCGCGGCGGCCCCGCCTCCCCCCCGGCTTTACGTGCGCGCGCGCTCGGCGCGGCGNCGGGCGGGGAAGGAAGGCGGGAAGTCTCGCGAGGTCGCGCGGCTCCCGCGGGAGCGGGCCGGGTGCGGGATGGCGGCGGCGCTGGGCGCGCTGGGTAATGGTACCGGGCCGGGGGCGGGACCGGGACCCGCCGCCCCTCCCGCCGCGGAA